CCAAACCACCGTATTTGGCAAAGAGGAGGTGCTCCCGTTTATGAAATCGAGCTGGGCTCAGAGCAAGAACGTGGCCGATGCATTTTCCGCAGAGTCCAAGGTCAAACTCCAGGGCTTCTTTGACCAGGCCAAGTCCACTTTGCAGAGCATTTCACACAACGCTGACGCCGGTTCTTCAGCAGTGGAGGCCAAGATCAAAGTATGGTGGGAGCAGGCTCGCCAGGAGGCACCAATCATGAAGTCGAGGCTCGATAAGACAAGCAGGGACTTGTACAAGAAATCGGTCCAGATCATGAGCCAATGGCTGGCTGAGCTCGAGAGATGCAGAGCTGAACTCAAGGAGGTTAAACAGCAACACGCAGCTGCTCGTGGTCACTAGGCCATGCCCCAATTAATGCTTAGTGTTTATTAGATATTTCTTTGGTTGCGAAATCTGTAGACGCTGCCGGTCTGGTATAAAGCGTCTACCAGCAGCGTTGGTGAGGGTCGTGTGCGATTCAATACACCCAGGCAGTCTATATTTCAGCGTTGGCTCAGTAAAACCCCAAACCACAATGGGTATGTCCACGCTTACCACAAGGTGTGAAATTTTATATTAACAAGCAGGAATTCCAAAGTTTTTTCGGTTTATCTCCGAGAGATGGCCTCTAATCTCCCAGTTGGTCGAGGGCGACAATGTCCCAGAGTTTGACAATTTGTACCTTGATATGAATTCCATTCTCCATACGTGTACCCATGCTAACCATCTGAGCTTGACGAGGATGAGCGATGACCAGATATACGCGGCAATTTTCAATTATATTGATCATTTGTTCGATATCATCAAGCCCAAGGAGGTGTTCTACATGGCCATTGATGGCGTGGCACCTAGAGCTAAAATGAATCAGCAACGTGCCAGAAGATTCCGGACGGCTTTTGAGGCAGAAGAGAATCTCAAAAAAGCGATTGCTCAGGGAGCCGAGATCCCCAAGGAGGATCCTTTCGACTCCAACGCCATTACCCCAGGTACGGAGTTCATGGCCAATTTGACCGACAATTTGAAATACTTTATCCACAAGAAGATGTCGGAGGACACCCGCTGGTCCAGCATCAAGGTGGTGCTTTCGGGACACGAGGTTCCAGGTGAAGGTGAGCACAAGATCATGCAGTTTATCAGAACCATGAAATCACAGTCCAGCTATAACCCCAACTTGAGACACTGCATTTACGGTTTGGACGCTGACTTGATCATGTTGGGTTTGGTGACGCATGACTCCCACTTCTCCTTGTTGCGTGAGGAGGTGACCTTCGGGCCCAGCTCCCAGAATAAGAGTAACGATGTTCACGACCAAAAGTTTTTCTTATTGCATTTATCCTTGCTAAGAGAGTACTTGGCCTTGGAGTTCAAGGACTTAGAAAACAACCTTTCTTTTGAATATGACTTTGAGCGGGTGTTGGACGACTTCATCTTGATCATGTACGTCATTGGTAACGATTTCTTACCTAACTTGCCCGACTTGCACATCAACAAGGGTGCTTTCCCACTTCTATTGGGAACGTTTAAGCAGAGTATGCTTCATTCAGACGGTTACTTGAACGAAGGTGGTAAGATAAATTTCAAGAGATTTGGCACCTGGCTTGAGTACTTGTCGGAGTTTGAGTTGGAGAACTTTGAGAAGCAGGATGTCGATGTCGACTGGTTCAACAAAAGATTGGAAGAGATCTCCATCACTGGTGAAAAGAAGAGAGAAAGATCCGGTAAGTTGCTTGTGTTGAAGGACCAGAAGACCTTGGTTCACCTTATAAAACCATGGATTTTGGAGGTGGGTCACCGTCCTGTCAAGGAGCTTTTGGAATTGGCTGACAGCCAAACCTTGCCTACGCTTTCTTTGCCTAAGGATGAAGTAGAGCACCATCTTGAATTCTTCAAGCAGTTCGCTTTGGAGGCGGGCTTCCTCATTGTCCATTCCAGGTCGAAGGACACTTATGAGGCTATCTACGACGTTGACGGTATTTCACCCTATGAGAGTCCCGAGGACTTCAACGAAAGAGTTGCTGAGTTGAAGAAGGTGATCAGAAAGTATCAAAACGCTAACATGTTTGCCACTGAGGAGTTGATGAAGGAGACGAAAGACTTGTACGACGCTAAGTTCGTTGACTGGAAAGACAAATACTACAGAGACAAGTTGCATTTTTCAATTCACGATAATGACAAGATGATTGATTTAACGAGACATTACTTGGAGGGTTTGCAATGGGTTTTGTACTATTACTACAAGGGTTGCCGCTCCTGGAGTTGGTACTTCAGGTTCCACTACGCACCCAGAATTTCTGATATCGCCATTGGTATCAAGGACATGTTGGAGAAGAATGAAACCGAGGTTCCATTCGAACAGTCCACTCCATTCAAGCCGTTTGAACAGCTTATGGCTGTGCTTCCTGCCAGATCCAGGAAGTTGATGCCTGACGTTTACAGACCATTGATGACTGATGAGCATTCTCCTATCAAGGACTTTTACCCACATGAGGTTGATGTGGATCTTAATGGTAAAACCGCATCCTGGGAAGCTGTCGTTTTGTTGGACTTTGTTGATGAGAAGAGGCTTCTTGAGGTGTTGAAGCCTGTAGAATCCAAGCTCCTGCCAACAGAAACGAAGAGAAACAGCTATGGTAAGGACATTATCTTTATCTACAACCCACAGAATGACTCTGTCTATCCAACCCCACTTCCTGGATACTTCCATGACATTGAGCATGACAGATGTTACGAGGAATACTTTGAATTGCCACCCTTGGATCCTGAATTCAAGTTTGCCTTGCCTGAGGGCGCCAAGTTGGGTAAAGAGCTTTTAGCAGGTTTCCCAACGCTTTACACCATTCCATTTACATCCGATTTGTACTTATCAGAGGTCAAGGTTTTCAATTTCCCATCGAGATCTGAGTCGATGAACCTTAAGCTTGACAACATTTGGAGTGATATTTCGATACAACAGTTCAGTCAAAAGTTTTTGGGTAAGATCGTTTACAGCAATTGGCCATTCTTGACTGAATCGAGGGTCACTGAAGTGTGGGATGGTCTGTTCAAGTACGAGAAGATCAAGGCGGGCACTGGTCGTAAATTCATTGTCAATGAGTTGACTTCCGATGAACACAGAGAATTTTCCCAGATCAAGTCAGGCCTTCGTAATGAATATGCCAAGACCAAGGCCGTTCATCTCAAGAACATCGAGGCCATTGTGTTCGTTCAGCGTATCAAGGGTATGGTCAGAGCTCAGTCTGGTGCTTACGTCAAGTCATTCCACTACGATACGGAGCCAGTGCCAATCCAGATGATTGTTGAGGAGGTTGTTAATGAGGACGAGAGATATGCGGTCAAGCCACCTAAGCCAATCGATGAGGAATTCCCCGTTGGATTACCAGTTGTCTTCTTGGGTGCTTTTGCCTACGGTGCTCCTGCTACTATCGCAGGATACACTGGTAACGACAAGATCAATGTCAGGGTTGACAAGATCCAGTCCACCTTGGAACCCAACATCGGTAAGAAGCGTTTGCAGATTGAGGAGCGCGAGATTAGATATCTCAGTTCCTACGAGGCTGCCAAGGCTTTGAGATTGAATGGTCTCTTCTTGTCGAGGATCACAAGTGCTTTCATGCTCAGAGACAAGAAGGCGGGTCGTGTCAATGTTGGTTTGGATATCAAGAACGATGCCCGTCGTGTGAAGGTTTTGGGCTACACAAGAAAAAGTGGCAGATTCTGGGAGTACTCGCCATTGGCTATGAAGTTGATCAAGGACTACCAGGAGAAGTTCCCCAAGCTTTTCAAGAACCTTGTCAACCTCAAGGACCGTCGTGATATGCCACCTATCGAGGAGGTCAGCAGCGAGGCAGAGGTGCAAGAGGTCCGCAGATGGTTGAAGGCTGCCAAGTCCGAGATGGTCCAAGTTTCCTTGGAGTCTGAGTCTTTGACTAGATTCAGTATCGCTGCCATTGAGGACTTCATGGATGACTACATGACCAGACCACTCCCATTGTCCAACAAGGATATCAAGGGTGTTCCCAAGGAGGCCATCATCAACCCTAGTGCCTCGTACCAGTTGTTGGGCAACCAGAGATACGATCTTGGAGACCGTGTCATCTACGTCCAGGACTCCGGTAAGGTGCCTAAGTTGACCAAGGGTACCATTGTCAGCATCACCGCCGTGGGAACGAAAACATCCTTGGGTGTTGTTTTCGATGAACCACTTGTGAACGGTAACAACATGAGCGGCAAGTTGAAGACCAACAGAGGTATGATCATTGACTCCTCGCTTGTGTTGAACATCACCAACAGACAATTAGTGTTCCACTCCAAGGCTTCTAAGGACAAGAAGCCATTGACAGAGCAAGAAAGAGCTGCCAGAGCTAGACAGGCTGAGATTGCCAAGGCCAAACAAGCCGAGGCACAGGAGAAGGTTGACAAGGAGAAGACCTCCAAGCACACCAACGAGATCCTCTCGTTGCTTAAAAAGAACAAGGACCAGGCTGAGGAAAAGGGCGACTCTGATTCCAAGAAAAAGGAGGCCCAGGAAGCCGACGAGGCTGCCGTTCACGATGCCAACCGTGTGAGACAACTTTACGGCCAGATTTACTCCAACGTCATGAGCCAGGGAAGTGTTCCTCCAAACGGCATGGTGATTCCACCACATTTGTATGGCGGATCAGGCCAGGCCCCTCCACCCCAGGGTCAACAAATACCCGTTGTTCCTGGTGTCCCATTGCCTCCACAGTTCTTCCAGCAAGCACCTCCTCAGCAGCAATCAGCCCAGCAGATTCCTACTGGACCTGCCGCTGAGAACAAGCCAAATGGCCAAAACGAGTCCTCAAGAGGAGGCCGCGGTGGTCGTGGTGGTAGAGGCAGAGGCAACTTCAGAGGCCGTGGTAGAGGCAGAGGAGGAAGAGGCGACTCCAAGGCTCCACAGGAAAGCAAGTGATTGCCAGTATATAGCTAAAGATATTCAGTTAAAAGATGTATTTACACGTATTTACAGGGATGATGGGTTATCTTTTGGGGGACTGTTGTCTTTTGAAGAACTGTTCGTTTCTGTCTTGGAATCAGCAGATTTGGACTCTGAAGAACCTTCTCCGGGTAGATTGACCAATCCTAGCGAATCCCAGTCGGATTTCTCCATAAGCTGGTTGTCCATACGACATTGAAGGTACTTTTTTGCGAGAATTCGGCAGTTTGGTGCGTTCTTGTTCTCTGTGAATTTCATACACTTGAGGTACTCCATCATCTGGTCTTTGCAGTCACCATAGTGATCCAAAGGAAAGGATCCTCTTTCGGGAGGTGTGGGTGTCCAACTTTTGAAGTTGCCGCCTGGCGTTAGTGAATTTTTGGGATAATCAAAGATTGTACATACCTGGAGCTCCGGAAGCCATTGGAAGAAGAGGTGTAGGTGAAGTGGGCAGATATCGAGTCCGGTCACGTGTGGGAAGTACCTGGGATTTGGGTATGGTGAAGTGGTGGGATCGTAGAAATGGGTTTTTAATTTATTTATTTTGGTTTTTTGAGCTAATGGTTCCATTGATAGAAGGCCTTGGTGTTGTGATGTGTGTTGGGAGGTTGAGTGTTCGGAGTTCAGCGCTGGTACAGTAGAGAGATAGTAATCAGAGTTCTTGTTTAGATGAACAATATTAAAAACATTAAATAATTAAAGAAGCCAATCAGCTCGCTTTTCACCGGTTACGTTCATTGAATTTAAATGAAAAGACAGGAATGTCAGAGATACCAGACTTTGACGTGCTACTTGCATTGTATCGATATAGAACCAAGTAGAACTAAGCTATTGTACCTGCCAGACTAAAACAAAATTACGCTTTGTGATATAGCGTTTTTAATCTAAGAGAAGCACAATCATTCAACAACCATCTTACAATCATCCAATAATTCTACCTGAACGCTGTTTGATGCACCTCCCAGCTTTTGGAGAATGGCTGCGAAATACTACCAATTGAGAGAAATGCAACACACCACAAACCACCCTTTACAAATCTCCAAATCAGCTACTTCCAATAACGACTCCTCCAAACAATCCAACCAAACCACCCAGATATCGATTGCTCTACACTCGCTTTCGGTTGCCTAGTTGGGTTCCTCTCTGTAGATTCCGATATCCTCCTAGCGGCTTTCCTGGTGGTGGCACATCCTTCTAGAACGAATCTAAAATTGATGGAGATATCAACGAAATACTAATGGAAACCTTCCAATTCCTTCAGTATCAAGCCTCCTGAGAGATATCAAACATGCAAACACACCTCCAGGATGCTGGGGGCTCGGCCTTAGTGAAACCGGACATTGGCTCGTAAAACGGTAAAAGCCGAAAAAGAAACGCCTTCAGCCTCATTTCGCTACAAGCTGCTCATAACACCCTTGACACCTTCCCTAGCCTGTTTGTCCACATTCACCAACAGAGATCTGTAAACGCATAGACAATGGGCATTGCTACCGAAGCATATGCTTCGGCGTTAGAGCCAACGGCTTTTGACACATGCACCTTGAGGACCTCGGTTCAGCGGTACAGCAGGTGAAGCACTACTGAGGGTTTTGGAACCCATTGTGTTTTTCACTGGACCTACTCACTATGTAGTTTTCATGCTCCGCTGAGTAAGCATGTGGAGGCATGATGTTGTTGAACTCGACCAGCCATACAAACCGCCATCACCAAAAAGGTGGAGTTTAGTAGTTTAAAGGCTAAAATAAAGCGATCACTGTAATACTCAGTCCATCGCTCTTACATTGAATGTTCATTTCTTAGAAGGAGGGTGCTGCGTGGGACCAACTCCGTATGCGCCAGCTCCTAAACCCCACAAAAACGCAACCTATTTTAAAAAAAGCGTGAACTAGCTCAGGGGCTAATTTCTCCGGAAATTCCCAATAAACTCTATCTAAGTGACCTTAGCGGCACGGTCGGCTCCCTCGGGTGGACCAATAGGGCTAACCGTTTTTTCTTTTCGAGAACCCGTGGAATTCCTCCCTATATACAGTAACACCCTCCCACTATCTATTCCATCAAAAAACGTCCATCAAAATAACCGTCCAATGTTCTCCAATCACTCCATAACGCTCTCGTTTGCAGCCATTCTCCACATCTCGCTCGGGCGCGCCGTGAGGTGAGTCGCCGTCCTGCACAGAAGCGCGATTTCCCCGGGCGGTGCCCCTCCCTCGGACGGACGGAAGCACCGGGGTCTTGTGACATGGCCATAGTTAACGCTCCAGCACCAACGCTGCCCAGCCATGTTTGTAGAGGAGCTCTCGGCGTTAACGTCCCTAGACTACTGGTAAGGCGGAGAATCGCCTAACCCCGGCGCGCTGGCGGCTGCAAAAACGGCATCTTCATGTTCCGTTCTCGGCCGTTGTACTGCGGAGACAAAACGCCCATTGATTTTTCACCAGCCATCTGCCAGCGGCATTGTAGAATAGACCCTAGAATTTGGAAAATCGACAAAACTTCTTTTTGCCTTCGCTTGTGAAGACATCGTATTCTTCAAGAAAATCGAAAAAAAAAGAAAATTTCTGTGCACCGCCAAATTGTGGGGATCGACAAATCAACTCGGTTCCTACTCACTTTCTCGCGATCAACAACCACTTCTTCCTCATGGCTGAAAGAGCTAAAGAGATCTTCGACCAGTTTGCGTCGTTCGACCCGGTCAGCAACAAAAAGTTCTTGCTGCTTCCGGAATTCGTCCTGATTCTCGCCCCATTCCCAAATGACCTTCCTTCCCAGTCCTACTCGTTGCTTTACTTAATTGCCGACAGAGGCGATAAGGGCTACGTGGACGAGTCTGATTTTGTTCATTTCACCACCACCTTGACCGGCACCGATGGCGAGTTCAAGTTGTTGTTCAATCTTTTGGCCAACGACAAGCACAAGTTGTCGTACGCCAGGTGTATCGACATGTTGAACGCTTTGAACAAGGCCATCGACCCCAACTACCAGCCCAAAAAGCTCAAGTTGAACTGGGCGTACTTGGAGCGGTTTTTTGCGCCCAACGGCGAGATTGACTTCCAGGATTTCATCTCCTTGGTCAACTACCTCCCAGTGACCAAGTTGATTGGTGGGTTTGAGGTCAGAGCAGGCCGCCTGGGCGTGATTTCCCAGGACGAGTTCCACCACTTGTTGCAGAGCAACTTGAGCCATAAGCTCTCGATCAAGTTGCAGAAGAACTTGGCCTCTTTGCCTGAGTACTTCAACCAGGACAAGTTCACCTTGTCCAACGTGTTGTTCGTATACAACTGCTTGAACAAGCTTGATTTGGTCAACGAGGTGATTGCCAACACGCCGCCCACCACCAAGGACAAGGCCGACATTTTGATCAACAAGAAGGACTTGTACACCCACTTGAACGACCACCTCCTCAAGTCCTCCAACTTCAAGCCCATCACCACCAAGGAGATCGACTTGTTGTTCTACTTGATCGACAAGAACGAGGAAACCATCCCTCGCCGTGAGTTGATTTCCTTCTTGAACCCCAACTACCTCAACAACGAGCCCACCTTGTACTCGATCTTCGACCATCCTGCTGCCCAGCCTGTGCGTGAAGACAACTTCTCCTTGTGGCCTATTTTCGACTCCTTGTACTCCTTCTTCTTGGGCTCCATCGCCGGCTGTATAGGTGCCACTGTCGTCTACCCAATTGACTTGGTCAAGACGAGAATGCAGGCCCAGAAACACAAGGCTCTTTACGACAACTCGCTTGACTGTTTCAAGAAGATTCTCAAAAAGGAGGGTTTCAAGGGCTTGTACTCTGGTTTGGCTGCCCAGTTGGTCGGTGTCGCTCCTGAAAAGGCTATCAAGTTGACCGTTAACGACTTGGTTCGTGGTATCGGCTCCAACGACGACGGCTCCATCACCATGGGTTGGGAAATTCTCGCCGGTTCGTCGGCCGGTGCTTGTCAGGTCATCTTCACCAACCCATTGGAAATCGTCAAAATCAGATTGCAAATGCAGGGTGGTAAAGCCAAGGAGTTGAAGCCCGGTGAGATTCCACACAAGCGTTTGACGGCCGCCCAGATCATCAGACAGCTAGGCCTCAAGGGTCTTTATAAGGGTGCCAGTGCCTGTTTGTTGAGAGATGTGCCCTTCTCGGCCATCTACTTCCCCACGTATGCCAACATCAAGTACCACTTGTTCAACTACGATCCTCATGACCCCAACAAAAGACATTCGCTTAGAACATGGCAATTGTTGCTTTCCGGTGCGTTGGCTGGTGCCCCAGCTGCCTTCTTCACCACGCCGGCGGATGTCATCAAGACCAGATTGCAAGTTGAGACGAAGCACGGTGACGTCAAGTATAGAGGTATCCTTCATGCTTTCGGTCTCATCATGAAGGAGGAGGGTGTTTCTGCTTTCTTCAAGGGTTCGCTTGCTAGAGTGTTCAGATCATCGCCTCAGTTTGGTTTCACCTTGGCCTCCTACGAGTTGTTACAGAGATTATTCCCCTTGCACCCTCCAAACACCAAGGAGTCGAACTTCAGAGCTGTCAGTGGATACCCTGGTGTTTACAACTTGACCAACGACCAAGTGTACGGCCTGCAGTCTAGAGACATGTTCTTCAACCAGGATAAATTGTTCAAGCAGCACGGTTTGACCAGCCCTAATAAGGACTTGTCCAATGCCTTGGTGAAGTTGCCTGCTGACTATGTGTACAAGTCCCTGGACGCTGTGAAGTTGTTGTTGGATATCGACTACAAGTTTGGCAAGTTTGACTACAACTCGTACGCTCAATTCATCAAACGCTAAATTTATGTGTCATGACTTCTATTCCCCGTGGGTCCTGCCCTCGACCTATTTTAACCCGTTTTTATATGTCATTCCGAATACAAAAGCATAGATTGTTGCCCTGGCGTGATTCCATCATGATTGTAAGTTGAGCTTTAGAATGTGGGTTCCTGCTTTCAGTGATATGAAGACGTTATGGTTCTTGTAATCCACAAACGCAGTGTACTTGTCAGGAGGAAAGTTTAAACTGTCCGAGTCAATTCTCTCGCATTCTCCATTGACGTTGATAAGAAGGATTTGGGAAGGAGATTCTGCAATAACGAGAATTTTATGGTATATGAAGCATATCGGTGTATTTCCTCTGATCGAAACTTTCAATCTCTTCACATCTCCTGTCCAATCTCGTTTCTCAGCGTCCCAATGCCTGATTTCGACTTCATTTGCCGTGATGATAAAAAATACTTCAGCATCCTGTTCGGTGATCCTAAAGTGTCGAAGAATTGGGCTGTCCAAGTGCACGTACTCTGCATCAAGATCGTCCTTTACGAACAAGGTCATGTCCTCGAAACCCAGTAGCAAATTGGCATTCACCAATAGGTCTTGCGGATTTTTCAAGTCAATGTGAAAAATGTCTTGGTACTCCATTTCGTCCTCATAGAATTCCAGAATGGGTAGCTTGACAATCCAGCTTCCTGTGCTCTTTCCTATAGTACTCACAAAATAGACAGTTTCGTTTGAAACGGCACAGTTGTCAAACCCCCAATCGTCAGGCTCAAGAGTCTCTTCGATATGTTCACGTTCTTTTAAATTACCGAGAATCCAATTCAAGGTCGTTTCACTTACCTCAAGTTCTTTCCAACTGTAAGCCCACGAGCCCTTCAAAGGGAAAATGTACCGTTCATCACTAACTAGTGCTCCAGTGAAGGACATATCATAGAAGCTGCCGTTGCAAAACGGCTTCCAGAACGATCCTAGTGGGTATATAGCCAATCCCAATTCTCTATCCTGATGATTGAAGTAGATGGAACTTTCGCTGTTGTTCAACATGGGCCAAACAGTGATGCCCGGAAGGAGCTTACTAGTGCCATGTTTTAGAAGATTGTATATGGATGGCTCTTTTTCACCATCACCTTGCATCTTTAGATGCTTGATTTCGATGTAGTTGGAATCTTCGCGGAGTTGAAATTTACGAGGTGGTTTCGTAATTTCAGCCGCATGAGATTTAGACTGCTGGACAAGGAGATCACTTTCAGCGTTGATAATGCATTGATCTATACGCATGAACCACATTACATTCGACCCAGCGGAATGCCTGAGTTGATCTTCCACATTATTCTCAGCTCCAATATCACCTGGACCTCATCATCTATCAAGGAATGTACCACGAGCAACTCTCCAGCGACAAGTAAAGAGCGTCGTTGGCACCCTCAAACATCCAGTGCAAAGAGTACGGTATCCAGCTGAAGAATTCACTCTCAAAGTGCACACAGCGACGATTTGTAAGATCGTATGCCATGAAACAACCCCTAGTTTCTTCGATGACGAAAACATCCTTAAAAAGAAATGCTATTGGTTCATGATATTCATCTCTCTTCCTCGGAACAGTGGTCGTGAACTCGTCCCACTGCATCATTTCCTTTTGAAAGTCTCGTAGCTCGATGGAGTCCTCTGTGACGGCAATGAATGTGATGATATCGTCCAGTTTGTTGTATCTGTGATGCGAATAGAGATCTTTGCCGACATTCCAGGAGGAACACTGGAGCAAGTCAGTCACCATGACAATGTCCATCCGAATGCAAGAGACGTATACTCCTTCAACTTTCGGGTCTCTTGGAACACCATCTCCATCCGTGAGCTCCGCGTGGCACCACAAGGGTAGGGAATGGAAAAGATCGGTGAACTTCACCACAAGGACGAAGTTGTGGCTGAAGAGAAAAATCGTATCTGCGTTAGCTGTTTGACAGTAGAAGATTGGTACATCCTCGTAGGTTTCACGTTCGTAATCCCTCAATATCGTTTTGGAAATACACATGGTGTCACCATGCTGGTCGCTCACAAGAAGCCTGTCGCCGTCATGGTCCAATGCACATAGATAGTCATTGTCCTTGGTGATGACTCCAGATATCAGTTCTAGCTTGGGTGACCAAAAACGAGCATCAAATTGAAAGTTAGAACCATGCAAATCAGCCAACCCATAATATCTTTCGTGGAAATCGATGCCGATCGCCTTAGTCTTGTAATCTATCAGGTCTGGCGCCAAAGGGTAGAAGCTATTATTAACAATAAGAGTTGGTCGGCACTGCTCCAATCTTTTCATAAGCGTCGGCAAATAGGAAAACTGAGTTACTCCTAATCTCACGGCGAGGTCCAAACTCACGAGATCCATATTGTGGAACCCCTCCTTCACAAACACCTCATCTCGTCCTGTTACTGTGGTTTCATTTTCTGTACGACGAGATTTTCGACAATGCTCTGTGGGGCAAGTCAGCGAAGTAGGCCGCTTGTCGGCTGTACCTGGTGCATCAAGGACCGGGTAAGCGGCGTCTTCCTTTATCATGAAATGAATGTGGTTATCTTTTTGAGAGTTGATAATCCTGCAGCGCGCCTCACAAATCACCAGTGTGGTTACGAAAAGGTGCCTAAAACGGGATCATATCAGTACCTCGATGTTCATCTTATGCTGGAGGGCTTCACTCAAAAACGAATGTCGTTGTCTCGGTGGATAGGTACATCTTGTTGTCATGGAAGATGACCTCAAAATGTGGCTCACTGAGGTTGAGGTTCCTGATTGCGGAACACTCGAATCGTTCAATTCTCTTCTCCTTAAGGTCAATGGCCACAAAATTGCCTCTATCTTCTTCACAAATTAAAATGGCATTGTATAAGAAGGCTATTGGCATCAGATTGTTATGTTCCTGGCGTGAGACCATGGAACCATCGCCAGTCCACCGTGTGTCATCACCCTCTTTTATCATTAACTCCCTCACAATCACACCCTGATTTGTTATCAAGGCAAATGTAACAAATGTGATGTCTCCCACAACTCTCGTGTATTTAAAGTGCTGAAAGATCTCGATAGTAAGATCCCAAGAAACGTAGTCACCTAGAGCGACGAAACATAAGTGAGTGCCACGAATAAACGAAAGACCACTTTCATCCACAACTGCATCTTCGGCATCTCCTTGGGGAACAGGCATATCAAGTGCCAGAGCAGGCTTCTGATTGAGGTGGAAGTTCTCAAGCAGTAGAAACAAAATTTGACGGTCTGTCAAGATGTAGACAGTATCCGCTGACACTGTCCAGCTATAAATACGAATGTCATCTGGATCAAATGCATCCACAGCACCTAGAGTCCGTAAAAGGTCCCAGTTCAATTCATAGCGAGTTCCTTCATTGTTGATAGCTTGGAACGGGCACATGTAACTATCGAAAAAGATGTAGTCAAGCGTGTCTGTTTTGATGCCTTTGAACGTTGTTCTCTCATGTGTGCTGCTTTGTCCTTTAGGTATGAGAGGATAATCTTCCAAAGGTAGTGGGGTCGTGCCTGCATTTCTGGTCAGCGGCTCGTAAAATACAACTTCATTTTCGGAACCTTTCAGGCCGAAGCCGTATGGATGGATGGCATAATCGATTTTCTTGAAGTATTTCAAGTTCTTGAGTTTGGATACGATTTCCGGAAGATAGGAGAAAGGAGTCTCGCCGAGGCGCAGGGCAAGGACCGAACCTTCAGGGTCATTGTATGGGGTTGTCATTTGACGGTTTAAAGCCAACGGAAGGTTTTTCTTTAGCTTCTTCTCGTGTTCCTTGTTCCTCCTGTCCTGGCGCTTTCTGCGATCCTGAGCCTGAACTGCGTTGTTGGTGTACCGTTTATTGAACCGGTTCTCTCCGTTGGTGATAGCAAAATACCTGCCCCTTTCATCGTCGTAATAAAATCCCGGAATAGGTGGGGGATTATTGGGCATCAAAGGACCTTGTGGTAGATGATGTGCTGAGCGGCATGTGTGCAGTAGTGTTAGTTAGGTGATGACTTGATGGGAATTGTCCTCCTTTGACGCCATGAATCTTATTGAGATGGGATCGTGATTTTTTGTTATTTTGGTTTTGTTTGACTGGTTTGCAATTAGCCTTTTGTAGAACCTACACGTGTTGCCATTGTGTTGTCAACGCAATCAGCTGGAAGGAATGCTTAACAGAAGTAATGCCGGTGGATTGTTTAAAAGCGTTCTTGATGATGGACGTGTCTTTCACAGCTGTAACAATTGAAGCTTCATGATCAGACTTGGTGTGTCCTGACTATCGTTGGGTTCCTTGTTAGAATGCCCATCTGTATGGCTGCGAAAACAAGACAGTGGGATAATGATAATCAACAGAGCGGTTGTAGAGGCCATCTCAATGTGATTCCATAAGCCTGAGAGCTCATTTGATGGCGCAACTGACCACATCAAACACCAGTGATCGTCTCATTAGCATACCATGTCATACCATGACATACAATATGACTTAGTCCGCATAGTAACGCCATATCAGCGAAACGCAGTTCACGATAACCGTATGTCATTCCCTCTTGACACTCAATCCGCAAATTAATTGACCTCAACTCCCTACCTCCCCAACTTCTTTGATCAAAGGAATCAGTCGTAATCGTACTCGGTGTAGGACTCCGCAGATGCTCTGGCGACGACCTTGCTGAGGTGCTGGGCATTCCGCTTCTCTAAAAGCCGCTCTTCAAACCCATTGCTTCTGTCAATTCCATCCCAAAACCATCCAGCTGGGATTTTGAACCGGTTGCTTGGATTGAGTCCTTTGTTGTAGGTTGGTCTGATGGAGGTGCTTGTTTTGACCTCGCCAGTGGGGGCAAGGGGGTCATCGAAACGCTGCTTTTGCGTCATATGAGCGATGTACTCGTCATCATTCACGGAAACATCGAAACGGGTAGCTTTACTGAGCTTCTCTTGCATCTCAGCTTCTTGAAGCCTGCCGACCTCAGATTGGTTGATTCGCTGCTGCCTTTCAATTGCCTCTTTTTCCTTAGCTTCTCTTTCAGCCTTAAGCTCTAGACTCCTTTTCTCTAGATCAACAATTCGTCCTGAGGCGTCTCTGTAAACTGTTGAAGCCATATTCTGCTCCCTGGCTATTTCATCTGCCGAGGGTTCTTTCGGCGTAACCTGTTGATCCGATTTGACCGTTTCTCCTGTATCTATACGCCGGAAACCTTTGTTTTCCTTCATCGGTTTGTCCAGGGTAATTGCAGGAGCACCTTCATCGTCGGACTCTGGATCTAGAGGTTCTTTTTCTGGCTCAGTTTGGAGTTCGGGCTGCTGGACAACAACAGGGGTAGATTGGGTTTTTGATTTCTTTTTCTTATTCTTCTTTTCCGGCCCGCCGGATAGATACTTGGCGAGATAATCGGCTCTGGCCATTAAGAGTTGATGTTTAGATGAGGGTCTACGCAGGATTATCACGATGAGTTATAGTACATACATCTATTTGGCAGCCACACACAGACTTAATGAGTGAAAAAACCAGACCGTCAAATACTTCTGGTCTTTGAAAAGGGGATCCAATTACTTTCGTGTCGCCTTCGATTTCCCGGGGCTGCTGACGATTCTATTATGACAGTGCCACAACTTCCACACACCTTATACAAATGGTTCAAAAGCTCTAGCGCTTCAAGCGGGTCACTTCGTTGTGCACTTGCGCAAGCGTCTCACAGAGCTCCATAAACACATTATACTGGCTCTTCACCACCTCCACCACATCGTAAATGCTACCCATAGTGTCATTGCACGAGTGCTGCAACCCACTGATGGCATCTTCTCCCTCCTTGATCACGTTTTCGTAGCTAGTCATGACATCCTTGTAGTGTTTGATCTTTTTGACAAAGAACTCGTTCAATTGGAATGATGACGACAATTTCGTGCCGGGTGTCGAGAGCTGGATTATTAGCTGCATGATGTTGCCAATATCTTCTGTAAGCTCGTCATTGACCGCTTTTAAGGCCTTCAACTGGTTGCTGTCGCCCTTCAAAGCTTGCTTGATGGTGGAGATTTTGTTATGCAAGTAGCTCACGTCCGAGTCGATCGACTTGACGAGCTGGTTGTGTTTGGGGAGGTCGTTATTAAGCGTCGTAGCTATGAGATGCTGGGTGCTGATGTACTGGTCGAACTCTTGTAGCTCTTTTTTGATTTCTGGCGGGAGATCGCCGAATCTAGTCATGGCGGTTAATTGCGTGGCCTGCTGGGTTTGCTGCTGCTGGTTTTGCTGTTGTTGTTGCTGCTGGCCGCCAAAAAGACCACCACCTGTGTTTGCATTAGAAGAACCTCCGAAAAGGCCGCCTGTGGTACCGCCTGTGTTGCTGGAGCCACCGAAGAGACCACCTCCAGAAGTCTGGTTAGTGCCGGTATTGGAAGATCCACCAAAGAGACCGCCACCTGTAGAAGTATTAGATCCACCGAAAAGTGGCTTTTGAGCGGTGGTGGATTGGTTGCTTGATCCGAAAAGACCGCCGGAGGGGGCAGCAGGCTTCAGGCCAAACAAGCCGCCAGAACTCTGGTTATTGGCGGTATTGCTGGACCCAAAAAGCCCTCCACTCTGCTGTGTCTGTTGATTTTGTTGTCCTTGCTGACCAGAACTACCAAAAAGTCCACCTCCTGTGGTGCCGGTAGTAGCGGGTTTCTGGCCAAAAAGGCCGCCACTCGAGGTTCCCGAGCCAAATCCTTGTCCAATGGCAGCGGGTTTCTGGCCAAAAAGACCTCCTGATGATGTGTTGTTGTTGCTTTGATTACTCTGTCCAAAAAGACCACCTGCGCTGGTGTTGGAGGAGCCAAATCCCGAGGAGCCCGTGTTAGCAGTATTACTCTGACCGCCAAAGAGCCCTCCAGAGTTGGAGTTTTGTGTTCCTGAACCGAAAAGGCCACCACCTTGAGGTTTCTGTTGTTGACCAAAAAGGCCTCCGGAGTTTGTGTTGTTGGACGCACCAAAGCCCGAGGAGGGCTGCAGAGAGCCAAAGCTGAAGGAGCTCAGTGCCGGTTTTGCAGAGGCGCCAAACATTGGAATTGGGAAGAAATGGATCTGTCTATAGGTGTTGTTGTTGCAGAGTTGAGATTTTTTCTTTACTGTGAGAGGCCTGTGTGCAGGCTGGTGCCATGGAATGGTTGCAAAATGGGTTGAACTGGTGGTAAATCAAGGGAGTGAGTGGTTAGCAAATTTGCAAAAATATACTTCAATTTATGTAGTGCATAGGTGTACTATGTATGGGTATGGTGCTTGTATATGGTGTTGAGGAACATGTTGTACGATTGAGACTGCTCACTCCAATTGACAGACAACCATCGAAGCCATAGGCTGACAATATTTAGCATCTTAAATTGATAATTTTGTGAACTACGAGAATGAGAAGTCAATCAGCAATATTCCGAGACGATGAGGATGTTCTGAGAAAGAATTCAATGGAGGTCTGAGACTCAATAGTACGGTGACAAGGGTAGCAAGGTAACACATGGCTCTGCGCAAGAAAGGACCTTCAGATGGAGAAAACTTTTACCATCACAGAGGACAAGAATATCATCTTTTCCATCCTCTATATATTGCTGGTGGCAGGCACTGATGATCAATCTTACTTAAGGTTCAGGTTAAAGCACAAACAACAACGAGCTGAAAGGAGAACATCCCCTGATTTCGAAACACAAACTATAGAAGATATTCGGAAGTTCAAGTATCCCGGACTCACTTTCCAATCACATAAAAGCGTTGCACAAAACGTGAACCAACAGTAGAATCCACCAGAATAGTTGCAGGTTAGGATTCTTCTTCTCAGACGACTATCTTAAGAAGGTGAATGCCAGCCGTCTCACAGTTTCCTAAAAAAAGACGTACTAGTCCAAAAAGAGCACAGGCCATGGAATTGAGTGTTGTAGCACAGGAAGAGTGCAGCCAAATAGAGGGTTATTCTCCGAGCCAATCATGATATATCAGTGAATGAATGTGTATCAAGAAATTGTTACATAACTTATAATGGCAATTAGGCCCCGACATGAAAAGACTCTTTCGTTAAATTCAATCAAGATATACCGAAAGAATCAACCTCTAACTACTTAAATCGATGAAAATGTCGCCCCAGCCACATATCCTCTGCAGCAGCATTCATGCACAGGTAGATGACAGTAAAAGTATGTCTCTGCTTCTTTGCAGATGCTACTGCCAGCTATAGACTCATCTCCGTTCGTACATCTGTGCCCCGCATCGTCCGGCATGGTTGTACCTAGTCGGATAAACTAGCGGTCCCAATGCAGTAATACGGTTGCGATGCCATGTGCTTGCACATACCCTATCTGCAGTGCGCATACGAGACCTGTCTTATCAGGATTTGCAGCCAAATCCACCTGACGCGTCACGCGACAGCATCGCGTCCTTATATGCAGCATAGTATCAACAAAGCTGTATTTCATCTTAAACATTGAATTAACTACCATATTTTAATGGATGCGGACCAACAGATCCGTTCAGCTGTGGCTAACATCAATGACGAGCTTCATAGAATTCTCGCCCTTACAGATGTGCGGAACTTGGACTCTAACAACGAGCAATTCCGCAGCCTGTTGATCAAGGAGTTCAACAAGAAGCTTAGGGAATTGAAAGACAAGGTGAGAGATCTTACTGCCGAAAATAAGCAGCTCAAGAAGAAAATAGCTGTTTACGAGCAAAATTCGCCCACAAAAGCACGTCCCACCAAATCAGAAGGAGCCATCCCAAATCTCCAGTACGTTTCACCAAAGAGAAAGAAACAAAAAACGGGTCAAGACGACGAACAAGTATTGATTCTTTCAAGCCCTGTGAAGGGGCCTTCGCAAAATTCAGGAAATGACATCACAAGCTCCCAATTCAACCGGTTGCCCACACAATACTCCGACAGCGAACTGCCCAATAAAAACTCGTCTCCCACAAAGAAAGTGACCAAAGAGCCGCCCAAGGTGCTTTTTGCAGAAGAAAACGATCGAGTTGTGGCCGATTCAGAAGACGAATTCGAAACCCTAGACGAAAAAGTCGGTGTGCCTCTGCATTACACATCTCTCCAGCGAGTAGGGTTCCTACGAAAGTACTATCGAATGCGGCTAGACGACCGCAAATTCAACGTCGAATTGTCCAAAAACCCCATTACCGAAAAACCATGGGCACAGGACGATTTCCGACCAAATGGGCAATGGCAGAGACCCAAAACGGGAGAACCTCGAGTAATGACAAAAGCACAAGAGCAAAACTTGCAGAGTTTCTTCATTCAGGCCGGCAGCGGCGCCAAGTCCAACGGGCCCGTTTGGGATTTAGATGCCAAAAGCCAGGAGGAGCTCAGCCGGTCCCAGATCATGGACAAGTACCTGTCACCACCAGGATTCATGGTGGGCAGTTTTCCAACCACACAGGAGCAGGAGGAACGAAAAGCCGAGGTGAAAAGAAAAGAGGAGGAAAGAATACGGCGCCGCTTGGCCAGTGCGTTGGCCAGGCCCCCTGGCGAGTTTCTCTTTTACGAGGATGTGCTCAACCAGTATGTTGCAAGAGGGCAGTACACCACCAAGAAGGGGTAAGACGGAAAAGATCAGAGACGAGCACAATGAAGCACTAAAAAGGGGAAGATCCAAAGGCACAGCAGGGCGTTGGAGAGGAATATGGAAAAGGAGGAAGATTCGCTAGGAGGTGGGACTGACGTCAGCTTCCATTCCGAAAGCACAAGGTCTTCTTCGATCAGGCTTGAATCGGGCTTGGAAAACTGCCCATTTTGTGTTTGACAGGCACCTGCAGCAGAGCCCGTCCGGTTGCTTGATTCCTAGCAATTGAGGAACATCCACAAAGTGCCATTCACCAAAATCACAAAAACTTCAAAATCAACAAAACTTCAAAATCAACAAAATCTTCAAAATCGCCCGTCGAGCTACCACCGCTCCCGCCATTCCCCGAAGGTCCCCTGGAGCTCCGATCGGTTGCAATTGGTGCACATCCTCAAGCACCTCTACCTACCCAAAACGGCAAAAGCAGATTCGCCAAAACCAACGGCCCCTTTCCACCACAATGTGCAAATTTCCAAAATCCTCAGATCCTCCGAGGTGGCGCAAACCCAAAACCCAAAACGAGGGCCAATCAGCACGGGGCGTAGGCGTTTGCTGGGAATTGTGTATAGGCGATGTCGCACGGTCCAGATCCGTTTCAGACGAGGATGGAGTCGAGCCGAGAGGTCGATGTTGAAGGCGGGAGAAAAAAAGGACGAAAGTACGGGAAATGCTGGGTCCTGATTGGTCGGTGGTTTATGAAAAAGAAATGAAAGAAACCGCCGGATGAACTCTCCAAATGCCACAATCCAAAACCGAAATCCAAGCTTCCCGGCCAAGACATGCCCAAGCTGCCGTTGCAGCCAAATTGAAATTTTCTAATTCAAATCGCCCTACATAAAACCGGGTTGCGCGGCGTGTCGTGGCCCCCTTCACAATGTCGGTGTCTTGTGCCTGGGCTGGATGTCTCTGGCGCCATACAGGCTGGATCAGGGCCTCCACGAAGCAAACCAGACCTTCTTTCCGGCGGAGCCTTGAACGCCAACTTTTCCACTTCTTTCCTTTCAGTGTTTTTAATTTCTTCGACGCCGCTGCCATTGCCGTCGTTTCCACACATTTTCCGGGCTTCGTTTCTCCTTGTATAGACAAGCCTGCTCCTCCAGAGGCAACCCGCTTCCTGCTCCCACGCCAAACACGGCTCTGCTGCTTTCCTAGCGTCTCGAGACCACTAGCGCTTGTTTCGCCAGGCTGGCTTTTTCGAGTTTTTTGACCCCTGAGTCGCCCAGCATCGCCACTTCGATCCCTACTCATCCGCAGAGTGTGTGCCCTGAAACCCACGGCTCCACTGTTTGTGCTCCCGTTTCCGGCTCCACATCCCTCTTCTTTTTGGCTCCCGTGCATCGCTGCTTGACCCGTCAATCTCCGCTCCACAATGGTCTCCCCTAGAGAACACTCCCATAACCTCCTGATCAACTCGATCTCCTCCATCGTCGAGCCGACAACGCCTCCGTCGGCAACGACAAACTCGAAGCTCTGGGACCAGCAGCGCCTCAATGGCCTGTTGTCCTTGCCGAGTTTCAGCCTTGAAGCCAAGGAAACCACGCCACTCAAAATTGACAAGGACTACTTGGCCCTGGTGCTGAAGGCGCCTTTGCTGCTGTTGCGGAGCCACATTTTGCGTTTGGCCAAGGACCAGTACGGCTGTCGTTTCCTCCAGAAACGTATCGACGAGAATGTCGTGCCCAATCGCCAGGCTAGGGTCGCCAATTACGAGATCATCTTCAAGGAGGTCGCTCCTCTGTTGTACGAGCTCATAATCGACCCTTTTGGCAACTACTTGGTCCAGAAGTTGGTCGACTACTGCTCGGAACCCGACCTTGACCTCATGTTAGACACCTTGCACAACAACTTGTTCCTGGTTTCCATCAACCAGCATGGAACCAGAGCTTTGCAGAAAGTCATCGACCACATGTCCAACAGCCACCAATTGGCGCTCTTGATGAAGGGCTTGAAGCCGTACATCATCGAGTTGATCAAGGACTTGAACGGCAACCATGTCATCCAGAAGATCTTGAACAAGTACCCACCCGACAACTGCCAGTTCATCTACTCCTCCATCATCGAAGACATTTTGGTGGTGGCTACCCACAAGCATGGTTGCTGCGTGCTTCAAAAGTGCTTGAACCACGTCAACCCCTCCCAGCTCTCTGCCTTCTCCGAAAAGATCTTGCAGTACAATGTGTTTGTCGTGTTGATCAACGATCAGTTTGGTAACTACGTCTTGCAGTATCTTGTCTCTATTGATTCTGTTGATGTGAACTGTGCCCTTTTCAACAACTTCCTCAAGTACGGTATCAATGACTTGTGCAACTTGAAGTTCTCTTCCAATGTGGTTGAGAAGCTCATGAAGAACTGTTACCACAACGAGCCCAAGCTGCGTCTGTTCACTGACTTGAAGTTTTCCGTTATAGGTGCCATCTTCAACACTGATCTCAACAAGCTCATCAACGACCCATACGGCAACTACGTCATCCAGACGTTGATAGACATTTTGATCAACCATAACGTCACTTACTACCAGGGTAGCGACAGAAGTGTCATACCTTCTTTGCAGCAGCTTCTTCCCCCAAACTACACTCATAGCTCGGACTCGTTGCAGATCCAAGTCATCAAGCACTGGTTCCAAAACTGCAAGATCGTCTCCTCGTTCGGCAAACGTATCCAGCTGAAAATTAACATTATTTTGAATGGGGTCAAGTCGTCGGGTCGTAAACATCAGCAGGTGAACCATGGCAACATGATCATTCCACCTACAAATGTCATGTCGAATCAAAACATGAATGCAAACGGCGAATTCATTCAAAGCCGTACTCCCATGGCCCCTTACCCTTTTCAGGCCAACTCCATGGCCATGAACAACGGAACGGGCTACAACAAGGGCTATAATGGGTATCAGAGAAACAATCGCCTGAACCATCTGCATCAGTACTACGACGGCTATGCGATGAACCGCAGTCTTGGTCCGTCCCCGGTTCCAAGAGATTCGCAAAGCTCCTTCGACTCCCTTGTCGACCCCAGCCTTTCAGCCACGGCGCTGTTAGCAAACTTGCATATATCGGCTCCAGTTCTGGCTCCGATCGATCAATCCACTGTATCATACAATAATGCCAACCCCCAACTATCCAACTTCATTTCTAACGACTTCACGAGAAATGCGGGCTACTCCATGGCGAATCCAGGTATTATGGCCGGTGCAAGGTCTCTGTTCAATGGTCAGTACGGTGTACGTCATGACAGGGGCCACGAAGGCTTGAGGAATCTGTTGCAGTACTCTGGAATGCTTCCACTGTACTCGGGTGCTGGCCATCAGGGCTTTTCCCACCAGCAGAACTCCTCGTACCCCGGAAACATGAATTTCTTCAAGGAGTAAGCCAGCATGATACATCGGTTGGGCGGCCCCGTTGCATCCAGCAAAAATAAAAAACCCAAAAAAAACAAAAAATATTCCACACCCAACCTATGAAGCATCAAATCCTGGAGCACCAGAGGACCGCCACATTGAGAACTACATGACAATGTCGAGTTAGCTTGTTTTATACCTACCTTTGCAATATATGTGCTTTTATACCTAGCGGCGCAGCTTCTTGGCTCTGTCCCAGGCAGAGCCTCCCTTTCTTTTTCTTGAGGTGCCCTCCTTGAGCGACCTGTTGTTGTTGAACATGGACCAGTCCTCACCGGCAAACGTGTTGGCTCTTTCGGCCATTTTCTGTCTGTGTGTCTTTTTCGTTGCTGTCGAAGGCAATCTGGTGAAATTGGCCTCCTCGTATCGCTGGATCTCTCTTTCCTTCTGGCTGTCTCTGCTTGTTTTCACACCACCTCTACCGTGGCCCAAAATGGCAGAACCAATGGAGGCCTCGGCCTGGGGCAAGTCGGACGATTCCCGAAGGTACTCCTCCATACTCTGCAACTTTCTCTTTGATTTGGCGGAAATGGCACGGTCGTCAAAGTCCTTTGTGGGCATAGCAGCAGCCGAGATCTTGGGAGGTCTGTATTTTCCGTCACCTTCGCCCTTATTTTTCGCCAAAGACGCCTTGGCCATGTTCTTGAGCGCCGAAGCGTCTGGTCTATACGAAAGAGCGTCGTCGTCATCTTCAGAGTCATCTTCAGAATCGTCGTCTGCCTCGCTTTCAGAGCTCTTCTCCTCCTCGCCGTTTTCAGCCGCCTCGGCGACTTTCTGCTCCATCCGGGCATTATCCTCCTCCATCTTGTGAAACGACCGGACCATCTTGTCGAGCTGGTACGTCAACTTCTTCTCCAAGGGCTTGATACCTTTTTCCAAGCACACTCTCTGTTGCACAGAGCTTTCCACTGCTTTGCGTTTAGCAGCCTCGATCTTCTCCTCCTTGGCCAGCAGCCTTAGTCTTTCCAAGTGGCTCAAAAGCACAAGCACCAAGGAGTTGGCGTATGAAAGGAGGGCTTCGTTTTTCAAGGAAAGAAGCGACATGCCCTCGAGCGATGAGGACGACTTTTCCACGAGGTCCTGGATCATCGTGGGGAGGTACTCTTTTTCGTGCACGACATACTTGCCGTCCACGTCCTTGACGGCGCTCTCCGTCTGCTCTAGCGACGCCACAATGCCCTTGAGGAGCTCGTTGACTGACGACATGCTGAAGAGTTGTAGTTGATGCGATGAGATACAGGAGCGATGGAGATGGTACTTGGGGTCTGCCTAAGTGGGAACTGTGTTTTTGAAAATGTGGTATATAGTAAATTGATGGTAATTTGATGGAATGAATGTAATGGGCCGAGGGTACTTTGAAGTACGTTTTGGGTGGAAAGGTTCAGGGATGTGATGATAGTGGAGACCTGGTGCTCATCGCACACTGCTTGAGGAGCTATGGATCATGACCCCAGCGGAAACGGACTTTATTTTTTCAAATTTTATTTTTCTTTCCAATTAAATTCACCTGATTTAATGGGGCCCTATTCAATTTCACATGTGGTAAAATCTATCTTATCAGCTTCCAGACTAGCTAAGCGTGACCACACTTGTGCATTGAGTCGTTCTACTGTGTCTTCACAGGCCTTAGTCTGCCATCTGTCTCGTGGACTATTGATAAAGACAGAGAGGAATTAGGTTAAGTAATTTGAACTACAGCTGATTTGTTGTAAGTGATCGAAAAGTATGTTCTTTGTCAACTTGCCTTCCAGTTGTCTAGTTCATGGTTTGGCTGCGAAATTAACAGACCAGGCGAAAGTGTCAAACTACACAATCAAAGCATTCACTACACAATCCGAAGATTTTGCAAAACTGGACTCTGAAAAGCGTTTGTTTTTCTAATATATGCCGAAAAAGAGATAAATTGCAGCACCTCCCTGTCTTCTCGGGTTTTCTTCCCGTACTATTCAATGCTTGGGTGCAAAATGCACACCGAAATGAACCACCCAACACCACCCATCCACCCATCCAAAGACGAATGAATTTCTCCATTTTCTTCAATTTTGAGATCTACCATTCCAAAACCTCAATAAATCAGTCAAAAACTCACTTCCACAAGCGTTGACTTGGGGACCCAACGTGGTGGTGTACGGATCTCCATCCCACACATAGAACCCGATGAGATGCGATTTTCAACCCACTCCTCATCCCATCAAATGCCTCAGAACGAGTACATCGAGCAGCACATCAAGCAGCACGGCCGCAGGCTCGACCATGAAGAGCGTAAGCGGAAGAGAGAGGCCCGTGAGGGCCACAAGATCGCCGCCGATGCCCAGAACCTCAAGGGCTGGAGAGCCAAGCAGTACAACAAGAAGCGTTATGCTGAAAAGGTGGCCATGAAGAAGAAGATCAAGGCCCACCAGGAGTCCAAGGTCAAGGGTCCTTCCACGCCGAAGGCCGACGACGGCGAGGCGCTTCCTACTTACTTGTTGGACCGTCAAACCGACAATCTGGCCAAGGCCATCTCGTCTTCGATCAAGCAGAAGCGTATGGAGAAGGCCGACAAGTACTCGGTGCCGCTTCCCAAGGTGAAGGGTATTTCCGAGGAGGAGATGTTCAAGGTGGTCAAGACCGGTAAGTCGAAGCTGAAGCTGTGGAAGCGTATGATCACAAAACACACCTTTGTCGGTGAGGGTTTCACCAGAAGACCAGTCAAGATGGAGCGTATCATTCGTCCTTCGGCCTTGAGACAAAAGAAGGCCAACGTGACGCACCCTGAGCTCGGTGTTACCGTTTTCTTGCCCATCTTGGGCGTCAAGAAGAACCCACAGTCGCCCATGTACACTCAGCTTGGTGTTCTCACAAAAGGTACCATCATCGAAGTGAATGTTTCTGAATTGGGTTTGGTCACCGCCGGCGGCAAGGTCGTCTGGGGTAAGTACGCCCAGGTGACCAACGAGCCTGACAGAGACGGCTGTGTGAACGCCGTGTTGTTGGTGTAAATTACATCATATATTCGTTAATCGTCAGTCGACAAAGTCATCCACAAAGAGGTCCAGGCAGCACACCTCCTTCTTGCCCGCAGAGCGAAGCCCGCAGTTGATAATCAACTTGGCGTTTTCCCGAAGCACCAGCCACTGGCTGCGCAACAACTTGGTGCCCACGAGGAAACAAAGCCCCAGAATGTTCTGCTTGTTGCTGATCGTGGGCAAGATCTCGCTGTACCGGTTGACTATCTTGCTCGGAGACACTTCTTCCATGGAGCGGGTGCTGTGAAGAAGCGACTCCGGGCCGAGTCCCTGGGCCTTGATCTTATCTGTGAATTCCTGGCGCACCCGATAGAGATACAGATAACCTTCCTCAGCAGCATACTCGGCGATCTTCTCATAGCTTCTTGTATCTTTCAATGAAAGCGATTCGCCGAACTCGGCAAATTTCGTAGACTCTGCTCCGTAGACTGAGAAGCAGTAGCACCACAAGACCAAGGTGGCTATACTGGCAGCGTAAAGAGAGTCATGGACGTCGTGATCCACTCGCCAGTCGTACGAAAGCGGTTGTGTTGGTTGGCCATCTTTATTCAACGGCGTAAGCATCATGCCCCACAAGAGCCAGTAGCAGTGTATCACACACTTGTAGTTGATGAGATCACCGACGTTTTTCATCATGGCAGGAAGCGACCGCATCCACATGGAGTTGAGCTTTTTCTGTACTATCAGGAGATCCTTGCTCGTGGCGTCAACACTCATGTTTGCAGGCGAGCCGCCGAAAATGGCAATGTCGTAGTGGTTGATATCAGACATGCCAATGATCTGGGCCAAGTGGTACATGGGGAAAGTGCATTGCCAGCGGTTGATGTTGAAGAAACCGTCTTTGGAGAACCCACTGCTTGGTCCGTAGATTTCATGATCAAAATCGTCAAACACAGAAGTGATGATCTCCTTCCATTTCTGGTTTCTGTTCTTGACTTGCCGCTCCAGCGCCATGATTTGCGAGAAGCTGTTTTGTAGCTCGGTTTGCTGCATCAGGTGCATGATGGAAACGATTCCACCAAACAAAACGTGCTTTGTGAATAGAGATACCTTGGACGAGGCCTTGGTGTGTTTCATGACACGCTTCAAAGCACTCATGAAGTTCATCCCCGGTTTTATGTTATTTTGATTTTTGAGTGATCTTGCGCCCGATTTTTGAATCTTTTTCTGGCGCTTGATCGTCTTTTTGAATGATCCGTTGATTTCGTAGGACGCCCAAAGGGCCTCCTCTTCGCATGGAAGGTTTAAAAGCTGAAGCTGGTAGAATGGGATCTGTGGATTGTGGCGGAACTTAATGTAGTCAATGACGTCAAGGTAAAACGTCATAAACGTTACCCTCTTCATCGACTCGGATTCAACCCACTTGTTGAACAATGCCTGGTCGGAGCGGGCCACCTCATCCAAATCCTCCACATCTTCTTCTCCAGCACTGGTGTTTTCACTAGCTGAAGTGAGCTCCTTGTTAGCGACAGTAGGGTTTCCACCAAGGAATGGGGAACGACGTAAAAGCTGTACCGTCGTTCCATGATGGATATGTGCTCTTTCGTGCATCAGTCTCTGCAAGCAGTTTTTCTCGACCCACTCCAAAAGATTAAGCGTTTGTAGAATCCAGACCCGCACAGGAGAACGGAACTCTTCGTGTTGAAAGAGTGTGAATCGTAGTGGTGCAGCGATGAGCATGGCTAGTTTGTACTCGGGACAGTGCTTGGAACGAGACAGATACGACTCGGTCGTGCTGCAATACAGGCATCCCACGATGATCATAGCGAGAAGGAGCAACGGTTCTGCCGTTTTGGTATCAAACAGCGGTTTGTGGAGAATCAGGAAGCGAGGGTGGAAAACCTCCCAGTAGCCGTATAAGTAGAACGACAATCTGTCCTGAGGCAAGGGGTCCAGCAGAGATGGCCTGAGGATCTTGTTCAAGGAGTCGATTGTTACGCCTGGCAAGCAGCTCGCCAAGCGTTCCATCAAGGTTGCATCCACGAAAAAGTGACGATTTTTGGCCACATTATTGGACGCTAGCTGGGCCACACGGGACTCGATTGACTCCACCAGCAACAGTTCGGGACTGTGGTCGCTGAGGGACCTCGGCGTTAGCGTTTCTGTAGTATTGGGAGTCGAGGAGTTTGTCGAGCTGATGTTCCAAGCCTTCGGAGCAGACTGGTCGATCTGGCCCTCCGGCGGCCGTAGGAAGACCTCGTCTAGGGGGTTGTCGTTATTCAGAAAAAAATTCAAATCCTGGAGGTTCATGTTGATCATGGCCTCAGGCACATTGTAGTATATGGGAGCCACCTCAGGCTGTTTGGGCGACATTTGGCGGGGCATTTCCATGGGGACGTACTCCGGCGCATTCACCATCATGTCCTTTGGGAAAGCAGGATCCTGGTCGGTAAAGAGCCACAGAAGAATGTCTGTCAGCGACTGAGGAACATTGGGGTTCATGCGGAATTCTGGAGAAACAGGGCCTCTAGGGTCGACCATTCCGTCCACAACGCCCTGAGGAGCCCCGTGGCCTGGAAACCCGCCCATAGGAGCCTGCGCAACCACTCCCTGTTGGACGTTTTGCTGTGGTGGGAGCGGTTGTTGAGGAAGATGGTGACTCATCTGTGGATGCATGTTTGGACCCACGGCGACGCCCTGGACGTTCTGTTGGACCTGGCCATGGACAGGGCCGATGCTTTGGTGGTTGTTATTCTGGAAATTCGCCGGCGTAGGGCCCTGGAAGTGCGCATTCGGTAGGTTTCCTGGGTTCGGCTGACTCTGTAGATTCTGCTGATTGGGCGGTATTCCGTTGTGTAGCATGCCCTGGTGGGGCACTCCGGGCCCGTGGTCCACGTTCACAGGCTGGTGGTTGCTCTGGACTTGCCTTAGAGGGCTCTGGCCCCGCCCTAGCTTCTCTTCTTCTTCCTTCACTGGACTCTCCAGTTCTTCATCGAACGCCTCGTCTCCATCGAGCAACTTGTGTCTTTTTAAATGCCTCTCCTTGAGATCCTTCCTCACAAACGTCTTTCCACACACCCGCTGCTCTCCGTTATGGTTTTTGATGAGCTTTTCACACACGTATACTTCCTTGGGTTGGTGATTGAGGTAGTGCCTGGCCAAGTGGTCTGAACGAGTGAAGACCTTGGAACATTGGGAACAGGGAAACTGGCCCAAGTTTCTTCTTTTCTTTTTGCGGACCTGGTCGTCGTCCGGTGGCGGTTCCGTCTTGACCATGTCGTGATATATTGTTGGTGTATTTGTAGCTACCGCTATGTCTATAAACTGCTCGGTTGCGTATGTGCATGACAGATGGATCTGCGCAGACATCAACCATGGAAAATGGCACAAAATCGAAGGAGTGGATGCAAAGAAGCGATGGCGGCTCTTTTTGGTGTAAATGCTATGGATGGAATAGCTACATTTCGTCGGCGAACCGCAACGATTTGCGGGGTCTCAGCCGGTCCTCGCCTTCTATCAGGTCGTGGAACTGCTCCACCAGCTTCAGAAGGGCGTCAAACTCGGGCATCTCGCTGAGAGTGCCCGACGGTAGCTGCTTGCGGGCCCGCTGCTGTGTATAGAACTCCAGACGATACGTGTAGTAGTACCGGAGAATGTTCATCTTGATGGCGCTTTCGCCGAAGCGGTTCATGAACAGCTCCTTGTATGAGTTGAACGAAAACTGGCGGTCGTTGCCCTCCAGCACGTCTTCAATGAACGTGTGCACGTCAAACTCCGTGAAGTTGGGTGGGTCGAGCATCCAGATGTCTTTGAATGTTTGGTACGAGTTGGGGTCGTGAAGAGTGCCGCTGTCGTGGGCCCACCCAAGCGAGTTTGTGGTGCTTTCGAAAATCATGTCTTCAAAATGGTCAAGCGCTAGAAGCTCGTATTTGTCGAGAAAGTCACACGGGAGGTCGTCGAAGGACTCTCTCATGTCGTCGGCTGCTTTCAAGTTCAGAAACTCCAGGCAGAGCTCTTCCGTCGACGCCAGCTTCATATCCTGAAGCAACAAGTTGTTGGAGTACGTCAAGGCCTCCTTGACCAACTCCGTATGCATCTGCTCATTGGACAACCCAAGCTTTCTTTGCAAACAACGCGAGATGATATCCCGCAACTGGTCCACAAAACGGTCGCGTGCCAGGCTTTCCTTTTTGACCAAGATCGAAGGAGACCTGGTCATGTGGCGAAGACTGGGTCTCACCTCTGGCTCTGGGACCATAGTGGTGGCCACGTGCACCTGTCTGTTTGCATCATCGGCCGCTAGAAGATGGCGCATCTGGTAGAGATTGGCCTCTATACTCGTGTAAGCCTTCACGCTGTACCTCAAGGAGTCTCTAATGGAGTTCTTGGACTCCTTGAGTGAGCTGTCGGTACAATCATTGAAGAAAGTCCTCCTTGAAAGCGGCGTTCTGGGCTTCAAGTCGGTAGTCCTTTCAACCACAACGGACGGCGACTTGAGCGGCTTATTCGTGTTCTTGTGCTCGGAAACCGGCAACTTGTTCGGGCTGTTTTGGTGGATGTAGCTCAAGATGGTCCGGGTATGAGACATCTTGGGGGTGGGGTGATGTGGGGGGGAGGTTGTTTTCGGCAATAAGCTGGGACCAGCCTAGTGACTATGCTATCGAGTTTGGATTTGGGTTGAAACCTTTTAAAGAAACGCAGAAGCGTGTTATCTTCTTCTCCAATAAAACTTGCTAGCTGTGTAAGCCCGAGAAGAGGGTCCGAGGTCTGTCACGTGATCGAGCGGCTTTCATTGGCGCGCTAACCGTTTTGCCCGAGCCTCGTACAGGAAAGAAGCCTCGCCTAGTGGGGTGCTTCCGGAGATATAGGCGCATATCAAAGAGTAGGTTGAGTGGGAAGGCGAGATTTGAAGTTGTTTTCTTTCAAAAACTTGCTGGGTTTTTGTTTGTGTAGATCGTATGACTACTTTCGGGCGCCCGGATGGTGCAGCGGGGCAGGCCTGGACACGGTGGGCCTACATTCTGGAATCCATGCCGAAAGATAAGGCTTAAGTCGAGGTGCCTCATGATTCACAGCAAGGTTGCCTTCTCTGATGGTGCCAATTTCCTATCCATTGGGCGTCAGGGCGTCTGAAAATTTTGTATAACCAGCTCATCTCGGAGGTGCCAAGCCTTGGACCAAGCATTGAAATGTCTCAGGGCTTCAACGCAGCCATGTGGGCGTCCAACTTGTGAGCCAGCAACACACGCAATAAGCACAAAAAAGAAATCGCACTGGTGCTGATTGGAAATGTTCCAGGCTGGATAGGGGATCGTCGGTTCGGCAGTGCAATAAAGATAAAAACCCTCGAACGTGTGGTCATTGTAGCAAGACCGGAGGCCACTACCATTGTAGATGCCGATATAACAGCCGATATAGCAGCCGATATAATGAAGTGGGGGTGGAGCGTAGGTGATGTTTTGTCTTCAAAGAACGATGTAATTGTGGGCAATTGTGGGGTTGTTCTGTGCTGGCTGCTGACGTTCATCGGACCGTATTCAGGTGTGATTTCGACTGATCTGTAGGCGGAAAACGTCCCATTAGTCCAAATCTGGCTCAAGTTCTTTTCAACAGTGGATTCCCAGCAATACGTGGCCGGGATTTCCACATCATGATATAAACACTCCTAGAACCACCTTCATACGCCAACCAACAGCAGACCATCCATTACACCACACCACCATCTGCGCCCCACATCCTTCAAATTACCTTATTTCCATGCATGCCTAGTCCCGATCCCGGCCACCAAATAGCGAGGTTCTCGGAGTTGACTGGAATGTCAGTAGAGGGAACTTTCTAGCCATAATGAGCTGGGGATCTGGTTTCTCCGTTGCATCTGGCACAAAACCGTCAGGTAGGCTTGGAGTAGCCCAATGCTGCAGAACACTCGTGTCTGTGAGCGGCGTCACAGCTGGGTTGTACGGTTTTCTGTATGGCTCAAAGACGTTGGTCAGACGACGAACTAAATGCTTAAGCACAACATCCTGGTCAGCAGCAAAGATAAAATTGCAATTCTGCTGAAGGACCTCCATCTTCTTCGCCATGGGATCGCTGTCTCTGACGCTCTCCACTTCCTTTCGACAGAGAGGGCAGCTCACATGGCCCTTGAGCCACTCTATAATGCACAGCTTGCCAAACACGTGGTGGCAGTTTGGCATCTTCATGGCAATGTGGCGCACCTCCTTGGCCTCTGGTTTCTTGAAGTCGTTCAATGCTGGGAACATTTCCTCGTTGGATACCTGCTTTTGCGAGGCTAGGTTGTACTGTGGAAACCTGAATGAGTTGAGTGCACCGGCATCGGCTGCCATAAATATAGAAGGATCTCTGAACTTCAACCTGCTCAGCGTGGGTTCCACATCAGCGTTTTCGAAAGCGGAAACCTGTGGTTCTTCCTTGATAGACGTATCCATCTTCTGCTTCTTGTTCTGCTCCACCTCGTACTTCTCGTAGCAAATCGGACAAGTCAGCTCTTTTAGAAGCTCGACAGGAACCTCTTCCAAAGATGCTATGGCTTCGTGGGACGCTACCTTGCGGTTCATTCTCAAGCCACTGTTTGCGTAAGCTCGTTCTATCATGTCTCTGAGCCAGCCAGGGACAGAGCCGTTGGTGGAATGGAAATTCCCGTTTTCGTCGGTTTCAAAAATCGCTGTGTAGCCATGTAGACCGGGGATATTCATGGCGGTAAATGACTGGTAGTAGTAGTTGGTGATGTTGAATTCGCACTAGCAAGGCTGCAGATTCGTGGATCGAGACATGGAACATCGAGAGAAGGTGATGGAAAAAGTGGATTTTTGGATGTGGTGAGAGGGAGATGTTTATTTGATGCTACGAATGTGGCGATTTCAGGGCGGGTGGTTGTGGCCTGTTATCGCCTGCTGACAAACTGTGGAGGACATGTGATTCGGTGAACATGTCATGATCTCATTTCCTATGTGCTGGGGTGGTACCTGCCATGTTTTCGAGGGGTTTTTGAATATCGGCTGCCTTAGTTATTCATGGCAGTCAATAATGAATGAAGGGATGGTGGTTGCCGGGTTTTGCAAGAGTGGTTGAATTTTGCAGAAGTGGCTGCAAATTCCGCCGGTGAGGCTCGCCAGTCAAACACAACCACAAAGCGATGTCCAGAATGAGAGAATATCCTCTTCAAACACACTTAGATCAGCATTTGCTTATACATTCCCTGTAGGCACCATCTGTCCCTCGTGTATGCCTTAGTCCCGTCGTAGTCCCCTGTAGATGCCGCTTTGAGCATGTCAGCATGCCACACTCTACAAGTACTGCTGTCTGATGCCCGCAACCATGGTCTGCTTCTCGGGAGGCAAGGAGCTGATCTGGTCAGGCGGAAGCGACAACACCTGAGCAACCAAATCGGCCTGATCTGGCGGTAAAGCACCAAGCTTCATTTGCGTCGAAAGAGGAAGATTGCCCCACTTTGTTGGAGGCTGCTGCTGCTGCTGTGGGAATTGAGACTGTGGTCTTGGAGGCGGAGGAGGCAATGAAGCCAGTGGCTGGTTGTAACCTCCGGAATTGTAGCCTTGAGGAGGCTGGCCGTAGCCCTGCTGGTACTGTTGTTGCTGGTTATAAGCAGGAGCAGACTGCTGTGGCTGGGGAGTGCTGGAGGCGGATTTCATCGATTCCTGGATCACCTCTTCGTCCACGAAGCCCATGAGTAAAAGCGCCTGGGCAGCTGCGGCGGCCAAGTTGGGCGAAAGATTGAAAACCTCGGCTGCTCTGGCTGAATTGTTGCCCGCGAGAAGCGTCTTCAAGTTGGCTATAAGCTCGATCAACTGCGCCGGCGGAATCAGACTTAGCGTCTCGTTGATCTTGTCTGGAGTCTCTAGAGGAATCTGGGCGGGCGTCGAGAGCGTCTGTGAAGCTCTGAGTAGGTGATCCGGAAGCTGTGCTCCGTTCTGATTGGCCATATTTGCAAACTTAGGCCCATTGGAGCCCGGAACAGGAGGCAATTGGGGTCCTGGAGAAGGCTGATGAGCATTGGGTCTTTGGGGCATTCCCGGCACTGGAGGCAACCCTGAGGCAGGACGCGCCGGCAAGCCGCCCGGAAGCTCAAAGTATGGCGGCATGTTCTGCGGAATGTATGGAAGCGGCTGTTTGTTGGTGTTGTTTCCCGTACGGAAACCTTCCTTAGACAGCTCAAACCGAAGACGTCTGGCTGGTCTTCCGTCAGGAACGTTGATCTTCGCCTGGCTGAGAGCGGCCACGGCCTTCTGTGCCTCCTGTGGAGACTCGAACTCTACGAATGCGTAACCTTTATTTTTGCCAATATGGTCGAAACCGAGTCTGACGTCTAGAACGCTGGCTTGTGAGGTCACGACTGCCTGGAGCTGGTCCTCGGACCACTCAAAGGGAATGCTACCTAGGTATAGGATCGACAGCTGGCCTGGGTTGCCCTGAGGCGGCGAGCCTGCTCTTCTGTTCATGATGGAAGCAGAAGTTAGTGTGAGGTGAGCTACTGCGAATTATGGTGATGGTCGTGTGGGGTCTAAAATGGGATATTGGTAGAATTGGGGGTGTTTGGGAGAGAGGGGCCTCTAGTGGGTTATTGTGGGTTTGGTTTCGTTGGAAAATAGTATTTTCAGCTTAGATTTGGTGTTTTGCTCATCGGGTGTGGAAAAGCTACTTTTGTCTTTTCGCAGCCATTCTGACGTACACCCATGAATTGGGTGTTCACCACTGAGAATTAGGGATTTCTTTGACTAGAGAAAGTTTTGAAATGTTTGATTTTAGTGAATCTATGGATCAATCATTTCGTACTGATTTTTTTTGGGGCTGATCATGGGTGAAAGCATAATTGGCGATTTGGGCTGTTCACCAGCCTCTTTGGAGACCATTGCCTCAAATCTACTAAAACGAATATTTCTGGTACGAGTGAGCGCAAAGAAGACTTCAAATGCTTACGTTCTATGGATCAAAGTGAGCCTGAAACTCGCCTCAATAGTTAATATTGCCATGTATTAAAGCTCGATGATCTTTCCTTGCGAAAAGTGTCAAAGCTACGCCATAAACAAAATACCCTCCCGTTCAATTGTACTTCAAAACGCTAATTTTTTACCTTGAACACTTCGTGTTACAAGTTTTGATTTCGTTGTCTCCTCCAATCTCCCAAGCAGGATGAAAATCTCTTATTACCAGTGACTTTCCTCCACTCTATCAAACTATGCTTGTCATTGAATTAAGAATATTACAAGTTCTATATCATTTCGGTCCAGAAACAGATAAACTGGCAACCGTTCAACTTCTATATTTTGTTTTTATGAGTCTTGGTATTCTTGATACCCTCCCAACGGGGAAAGCTGTTGGTATCTATTCCGAAACAATCCAAAATCCTACCACTGCTCTGTTCTATAATATCGTCAACTGTCTGGGGCCTAGTGTAGAACGCCGGAACTGGTGGGAATATGTAAGCTCCCATTCTTGACAAAAAGAGCATATTCTCTAAATGTATATCCGAGAGCGGAGTCTCCCTAGTCACCAAAAGCAATTTTCTTCTCTCCTTCAAAGTAACATCCGCAGCTCTTACAATTAGGTCTTCAGTGTAGCCCATTCTGATGCCTGCCAATGTTTTCATGGAGCAAGGCACAACGATCATACCATCATGATGAAAAGATCCAGACGAAATAGGTGCACTTACGTCTTTAGCAGTGTACACCTTGGATGCAAGAGACATAATGTCCTCCATGGTGTAGTCCGTTTCGTACTTCATTGTAGCCATTCCCCACTTTGACATCACCAAATGAGTTTCAACCTGACACTGCTTTAGCATTTGTAGCACCCTAACGCCAATTGATATGCCTGTTGCACCAGTAATTGCAACCACCAATCTTTTTGGTCTTGGTGCAATTTCATGACTAGGTAGACTCTCCGAAAGCGGTAATTTGACAGAAAAGCGTCTAACGCAAGACTGATAAAGTTTCAGTCTGCATCCTCCTAGTATGTTAGCCAGTCTTGCAGCGTTTGCGAAAAGCGTAGGTAGCATCGTGAAGAATACCAAAGGACAAGCACCACAACTCGACTTTATAGAAAAATTGAAAAAAATCACAAAAGCAGGCTTAAATTCTAGGCAGTGACCATCGGCACCGATAAATATTCGCCGACTAGAGCCGACTAGGGCTTTTTATGCGCGCACCAGGCGGCAATCGGCCTTAAATAAGTGTTGATGCATTTGCGTTTCGGGAAACGAGGCACGGTCTCCGACCATAAATAGGAGACATGCTGCTGGATGTAGAAAAACTAATAAACAACAATAGAACTATGAGCGCATTGAAACCGGCATTGAGATTTAGGGATTTTCTTCAGGTCCTCAAGGAGGAGGGTGACTTGCAAGAGATCACCACCGAGGTCGACCCCAATTTGGAGGTAGGAGCTGTTATGAGAAGGGTGTACGAGGAAAAGTTGCCTGTGCCGTTTTTTCAAAACCTAAAGAAGGATTCAAAAAATCCAGATCCTGAAAATTTGTTCAACATCGTCGGATGCTTGGGTGGTCTTCGAGACAAGTCCAAGGGCAACGATCATGCCAGAATTGCCCTACACTTGGGTTTGGACTCACAGACCCCGATGCCCAAGATCATCAATTACTTGTTGGAGGCTAAAACAAAAAAACCAATTACACCCCAAGCTGTTGATTCCTCTGGTGCTCCATGCAAGGATAATAAGCTCACTGGAGACGATATCAAGTTGAACTCGTTGCCTGCTCCCATGTTGCATCATGGTGATGGAGGAAAATACATCCAAACTTATGGAATGTTCGTCTTGCAAACTCCAGATAAGAGCTGGACAAACTGGTCTATAGCCAGAGGAATGATTCATGACGATAACCATTTGACCGGCTTGGTCATAAACCCACAACATATCAGACAAGTTGCCGATACATGGAATGCAGTTGGTAAAGGTGACAAGATCCCGTTTGCCTTGTGTTTTGGCGTCCCACCTGCAGCTATTCTAGTAAGCTCCATGCCAATTCCTGAAGGTGTTTCGGAGGCAGACTACATTGGAGCCTTGGTTGAAGAACCCTTGAAAGTTGTCAAATGTGAAACCAACGAGTTGGAAGTTCCTGCTGATTCTGAAATTGTTCTTGAAGGCCATTTGAACTTGAATGAGTTGGTCAACGAAGGTCCATTTGGTGAGATGCACGGGTACTGTTTCCCAGGAACACCACATCCATGTCCTTTGTACACGGTAGAGACCATAACCTACCGAAACCACGCTATCTTGCCGGTTTCCAATCCTGGCTTATGTACCGATGAAACACACACCTTGATTGGTGGTTTGGTGAGTGCTGAAGCCAAGCAGTTATTCATGGACGATGCGGTTTTGAAGAATGTCATCATGGAGGCATTTACTCCCTATGAAGGCGTAGCTTTGTGGTTGGCTTTGAAGGTGAATACCAAGGAGCTAGCCAAGTTGAACACCACCAGTAAAGATTTCTGTAAGAGAGTTGGCGATATTGTTTTCAGCTCCAAGACAGGTTTCATCATCCAAGAAGTGGTTTTGGTATCGGAGGATGTCGACATTTTTGATTTTAGAAAACTCATTTGGGCCTACATTACGAGACATGCACCAGGTGATGACCAGTACTTCTTTGAAGAGTACCGTGCTTTCCCATTGGCACCTTTCATCAGCCAGGGACCGAGAGCCAAGACGCTAAAGGGCGCCAATTGTGTCACCGACTGCTTATTTCCACAGCAGTATAAGCCCGACGGTGTAGAGTTTGTCACCTGTGACTTCGATGGTTACCAGGACTCCATCAAGGAAAAAGTGTTGAAGAATTGGTCTGCCTACGGCTACAAATAGGTGTTGAATAAAAGTAACATTTTGGTGGTGCTTGCTGCTCGTTCTAGATACAATTTTATTCACTCGGTGTATCGAGCTTCTTAATACATATTGTACATTGCCAACAGGCTTTTGAGACCACGCCTACGCCTTTGCGTCGGTCTCAATGACTCCGTAGGAGCCCTTCCCAATCTCGGTCTGGATATCCTTCACGATCTTCCTCTTGTCCGCATCAAGCGTTGCAAGCTCCTCTTCCGTCAAACCGTTGACATACCGCAAAAGCTCCACATGGTCCGTCGTCAACTGGTCCAAATCGGGTTGTCTTCGGTTGAGACACAACTCCACGAGGTTCTTATTGGCCACGTTCATCATCAAGCTGGTCTCGACCAAGGCATGCGATAGCTGGGGACACTGGTCTAGAAGCTTTTTCATAAGCACAGGGTTCTCCAAGCTCATCGACTTGGCCTCCTTCAATATACGAGCGGCCGTTTGCGAGTCCAACCTCGACAACAACTCCAGAATCGCCTGCTGGGAGCTTTGTCCTGGAAATAACTGCACACCCAAGGGCAAAGGCGGTAGTTTGGCTGCGTTTCCAGTCAAACCCTCACTAAGGGCGTCTTCGTCAGAGGCTAGCGTGCACCTCAAGTACCTGTTTCCCACGTTCATGTTATTTAGGTTTCTGACGGCCGAAAGCGCCGTTTCACTGTCACCGTAGCGGATGTAGGCGTTTCCCTTGGACTTTCCTGTGGAGGAGTCGAACAAAAGTTTGATGTCGATGACCGGACCGACGGATCTGGCGATCTCCAGCACCTGCTCCTCGGTGTAGTCGAACGGGATGCTGGCGATGAAGACGGTTTTGCTGTGGTTTTCCATGAAAAGGTGGTAGTTGAGGTTTGATGTGGAGTGCGCAGGATGTGTAGATGGGTTGAGAGTTTAGTGTTAGTAGGTGGGAGGAACGCTATGGACCAGTCGAGTTTATGAGGGTTTTAATGGATTCATGCAAATTGACAAGCTATATTGTTTTTGACAAATTTGACAAATTAGCGTGTTTGTCATTGAAGTGTTAGTGGTGAGAGGGAAGCTTGAATGTTTCGCAGCCACTACTGGTTTAGTAGAACATATCAGTGGCCATAGTGGCTCAAATTGAGATACTGTCATTGATTTTGTATTTCTTAAGGTAGAGCAAAAGACGGTTGGTAAGAATAAAAAAAAGAAAAGACTTAAGTCATTTGAATGCGTTGTATATCTGTGATACATCTGGTCAATGCTACTTACAACAAGTAAAGTACTGATTATTGGGGAGATCCTTCCATGACCGTCAAGGAAAATCGACTTGGAAACTTGAGGCAAAATCCAATAAAATTTACACTAAACCATCCCTCCACCGTTAAAGAAGCTACTTTGGTGATGGAGACAACTTCTCCAGCAAGGTACAGTGTGATAAGCAAACGAAGGTTTTGTGATTCCGAAAAAGACAATTGAGTTTTCAACGCCATTTAAGATTTCATAAAAAGTTTCTCAAAAGGAATGTTAGAAACTCTCTAAATCTCGAGACATAGTGTGCTCATCGGGGCTCATCCCATCGCTCGTGTGCCGACTTTGCAGCCATTATGAGAGGCACCATCAACAGTGAAAAATGTGAAAAATCGAGTTTTCCATTAAAAGCCCTTAAGAATACCACCTTGTTGGCTGATGTCAATTCAAAAGACAAAAGAAAAAGGTAGGTCATATCTTCAAAAGTATATTTTAGAGATGCCATCACTAGGCCATCATCACTGAACAACATATGCACCCTCTGAGCAACCCCATACCCTGTCACACACCAAACAAACCAAAACTTCCCCTCAAAACCCAACCCTTCAGAATCACTACCCAATATCATTTCCTCGTCAAAACTCCAAACTTTTCCAAACCCATTGTAGCTCGAGGGCCTGGACCCTTGTGGTGCACGGATGCTCTTCCTGGAAACTCACCTACCAACCACACTCTTCATCATGGACGTGAAGGAGATCAAGCTGACGGTGTCGAACTTGGAGAAACTGAGTGACGACACCACGATCTTGAAGCTTTTAAACATCTTGAACGACGGCATCGAGCCCACAGAGAAGCTCTTGAGAGAAACAAAGGTCGGTGTGGCCGTCAACAAGTACAGATCCAACAGCAACAGCGAAATCAGCACGTTGGTGAAACGCATGATCAAGAAATGGAAGGAGGTTGTACAGAACGAGAAGAACGCCAAGAAGGCCCAGGCCAGTGCTGCTCCAACGCCGGCTAAACCAGCTCCCGGTTCCACTGGAGGTAAGTTCCATAATGGCCCTAGAAACCCCAAAACCGACGGCGTGGATACCACGATTTACGACGACAGCACGCGGAATGCCTCGGTCAGTGCGTTGTACACGGCGTTGGCGATAGAACGGGACGACGACTCCAAGACGATAGTCAATGTCGCCGTGAAGATAGAAAGTGAAGTGTACGCTGAGGAGTACAGCAAAGTGAACGACGGATACAGAAACAAGTTGCGGACGCTCACGATGAACTTGCGGAACAAGAAGAACCCGGACTTGAGAGCCAACTTGTTGACGGGCTCGTTGAAGCCCGAGAAGTTCATCAAGATGTCACCCAACGAGATGGCTCCCGAGGCCTTGAGACAGGAAATGGAGAAGTTGCACAAGCAGAATCTTTTCGACGCCCAAGGCGCCACAGAGAAGAGAGCCGTCACAGACAGATTTACTTGTGGCAAGTGCAAGCATAAGAGAGTCAGCTACTACCAGATGCAGACGAGGTCGGCCGATGAGCCGTTGACTACATTTTGCACCTGTGAGAACTGTGGTAACCGCTGGAAGTTCTCGTAGGTTTACAGGAAAGGAGGAGTGGATCGCTGTGTATTATATTTTAGAATCTCCGGAAAAAAAAGTGTCTGTACGATTAGTAGGAAGCGTTTTTGGCCAAGAACGAGAGCAAGTCGACCTTGGTGACGATCTGCACGGGCTTCAACTCGTCGTCGGTGATGATGGCGTTGGAGTGGGTCTCGAAGAACTTGTTCAAGAGAGCGAGTGGGGTGCTCATGGTGATAGGCTCGTAGGACTTCTTGGTGAAGCCAGACTCCTTGTTGATGCTGAAGGACTTCTCAAAGTCAGCCAACTTACGGAAGTCCAAGAAGATGCCTCTGATGGAGTTGGTCATCTGGACCTTCTTCGTCGAAAGAGACTTCAAGATCTTGGACAAAGTGACAAGACCAATCAACTTGCCGGTGGAACTCAAGACAGGCAACTGGTCAAAGCCGTTGGACTTGAGCAACTCGAAGGTCTTGCCCACGGTGTCAGCCAAAGTGACAGTGACCACAGGTGGCTTGCCAGAAACAAGGTCAGCAATGGTCTTGTTGTGCAAAAAGTCGTCGGTCTTGTTGGCAGCGGTGTTGGTCTCGTCAACATCGAAGCCGTTGATCTTCATCCACTCGTCATCAGCAAACTTGGACAAGTAAGATCTGATGGAGTCTGGGAAGACAACCACAACGGTGTCGTCCTCGGTCAAGTCCTTGGCAACCTCGAGGGCAGCCTGCAAAGCAGAACCGGAGGATCCTCCAACGAGGATACCTTCCTCTCTAATAATTCTTCTAGCCAACTTGAACGACTCAGCGTCGTCAGTCTTGATCCAGTGGTCCACACGAGTTCTGTTCAACACATCTGGAATGAAATCGTAACCGATACCTTCAACGAGGTAGCCGTCGGAGGTGGTGTTCAAGGTCTCTGGCTGGGCCAAAATGGAACCCTTGGGGTCAGCGGCAATAATTCTGACGTCAGGGTTCTTCTCCTTCAAGTACTGAGAAATACCAGTGATAGTACCACCAGTACCAGCACCGGCCACCAAGTGGGTGACCTTACCCTCGGTCTGCTCCCAAACCTCGTAACCAGTACCGTAGTAGTGAGCTCTAGGGTTGGCCTCGTTACCGTACTGGTCCAAGATGACCGCGTTAGGAAGCTCCTTCTCCAACTTCTGAGCCACACCAATGTGAGACTCTGGAGAGTCCCAGGCGGCCTCAGTAGGGGTTCTAATAATCTCAGCACCCAATGCCTTCAACACGGAAACCTTCTCGTTGGACATCTTCTCAGGCAAGGTGATGATGGTTCTGTAGCCTCTGACAGCACCAACAAGAGCCAAACCGATACCGGTGTTACCCGAGGTTGGCTCAATCAAGGTGTAGCCTGGCTTGATTCTGCCCTGCTTCTCAGCCTCCAAAATCATGTTCTTGGCGATTCTGTCCTTGATGGAACCTCCAGCATTGAACAACTCAACCTTGGCGTACACCTTGGCCTTGATGCCGTAGGACTGGGGGATTTTGTTTAACTTGATCATGGGGGTGTTCCCGATAAAATCGAGAACATCGTCGGCAAGTGGCGGAAGAGGCAGCATGGTTGGTGTGGATGAGGTTTGTTGGAAAAAACGAGGTGATGGGGTGGTGATGGTCCTGCAGCTGGGCACGGTTGCAAACGGAATACCACAACGCCAGTGTCCCAAAAACGTAATTTTTTTTGGCTGAATGAGAAGGAGTCACAAAAATAATTTTGCAAGTTCATTTGGCCCTTCCCAGCTTCAAAGGGCCTTCTGTAGGCGCCTGCGCCACAGTTATACGCTCACTATCTTGCATTTAATCACCTCGGGGTCTTCTCCGGGAATACCCTTGGTGAAGTCAAAAACCTGGAAAAGACCCCTACGGTCCACAACAAGAATTTTGCCGCCATCGGACGAGTACAGCACGGAGGCTGCCTCATTCGGACGAACGGCATTTGCTGCTTCGCCTAGTAATACTATGATTTTCTTGGTCTGAGGCCTCGTGGTCCTGGCGTTCGGAGTAGATACGATGAATATCCGACCGGACTTGTCCAAGAAGAGAATGCTGTCACCGCGAGGAGAAAATTCAACACGGTAGATGGAAGAGCCGATTTCGGGCACCTTGAGCGTAACGTCGTAGTCTGTAATCTGGAGGTTTCTGTCGTCTTCCACATCGTCCTCTAAAGAGACATTTGACATGCCCCCAAAAGCGTCAATGGACGGTCCTTCAAGTTTTACTAGCAAAGACGGACGGTTGTTCCATGATGCTGTGGTGATGGCAATGGTGTTTGTGCCAGGAAGGCCGAATTTGATATCGGTGATTCCCTCACTATCCATGACCTGGTCGTCTACATTTGTATCATAGCTCCGGTCGCCCGTCATTTCTTCGAGTTTTTGTCTTGAGGCAACTCTCATGTCGGACCAGATAAGCATGGGCTTTCTGCAAACACTGGTAGGTGTGGATCGTAGACGAATAATGAAGTAACGCATTTCGTAGACTGTAGAACATATGATATGGGTTGACGCTGCATTGAAGGAAATGACCTTGAGCGGATCTCTGTATGGAATGGTAATGGTTATAGGATGCACGCTTTTGACGTTCTGTTGATCCATATCTAGCTGATGGAGAATCACGAAAGGTTGCTGTTTTCCAGACATCCTCTCTCGAGCCGTGATTCCACAGGCTATGAGGTTTTCCTTGGGGGCAATTGAAATGCATCTTATAGGGAAGTTGGTCAAATACGTGTAGACTGGAGCACCCACATCGCCGTATTCTGGATCAGCATTAAGAACACGAACCACACCTCTCGTTCCGGCAAGCACAAGGAACCGTCTTGAAAGGCAGCACGAGAGATGCACAAACAGCTTCAATTTAGAGCCCACACTCTCGGAATCGGAAGAAGTGCTTTTACCTCCGAACTCATTCTTCACTATAAGCCCCGGCTTAGAAGAAGGCTTATATTCCGATGATCCGTACGAGTACTCTCCAGTCAGCTTGCCACAAGCTAGAAGGGAAGGCTTGCCTAGACTTGGTCTGTACGTGTAGAGCTCCCAGCGTTTGTCTGTGATCAAAACGAAAGTGGTGATTTCTTCACCCAAGGCCTTATCGTAGCGGGTACACAAGGAACAGCCGTTGTAGCGGGTAGCCGACAGTCGAAGAGAAAGCTTCTTGAGCTTGTTGTTGGCGGTCTGGAAAGTCGTGAGTTTCCTGTGGAATGGGAAGCATCTGCTGAAGTTGTACTCCTCCTGTTCGTTCAAACCCAGAAGCATATTGTCGAGATCGTCCTCGGGCTGCTTGGGAATTTCTGGACTAAGAATCGGCGCCTTCATCTCTGTTTCCGGCGAGCTCAGTAAGGCCACCTCTCGCTTTCCCTCTGTTTCTTCTCGAGCTAGTTTACAGAAGAGTCCCACCAAGTCCATACTTTCTGTAGTTGCCAGGTCCAGCATTTTCCGTAGACTTTGCCGCAGGGACGACGTTCGCCTTTGCTTTGGATCTAGGAGTTTGTAGAGCTCTCGTAGCGGAGCAATTGGTGTTATCATGGATGCCTCCTCAAAGCACACTGGACAGCTTTTCGGACCAGCGAGGTATTGGGCCTCAGAAACAAGACAGCCGCATGAAAGCACTGCAGCGTCAGAAACAAGGCCACCAGGCGGGTCTGCGCCGGGAAATCGTAGTAGGTTTTCTAGCCGACTGGTCTTGACTTCCATGGGTTGGTTGTGATGGATGAATGGAGGGGAGGGGTGAATTGGACTGGGTGGATTTCGTAGAGCTTATCCTCAATGAAGGGAATTTGGAGGTTTGAGGATCACGAGATTGTCTGTGGATGTTGCAGTGGATTGGATGGTTTAAAGGAGGGTGAGGAGTTGGCGATGTGTATTATGTATGTATGGCTGCGAAAGATGCTGTCAAAGTGTAGCCGAGCAGTATGGAGGAACCGTCGTACCCCACAAAAAGTGTTTGACATTGGAGGGCAGGTGGAGATTTTTGGGGAAAATTATAGAGAAGTTGAGTTGGTCAAAAATGTGATTCTAAAAGTTCGACTTTAATAGAGAGTTCATGATGTCAGTGGTGGTGGTAGTGGTTGTAGCTGTGGTAGTAGATAGTCGGTCAACCAGGTCGATTCCTTCCTATCTAAAAATTTTTAGATAGTTCTGTTTTAGAATATAGGTTTATTGTCCGGTATTTTCTCATTTTGAGATGCTTAGGGGTGTTTCTGATGTATAGCTAGAGCTTCTAAGGTCCAGTTGAAGTACTGAGATCAACTCCAGCAAAGATACAAAGTTTTCGAATACCCATCTCAGCAGCGTATAATGCACTGGTAATGGGATGCCACACAATTCACGATTTGCTTCAAATCTATGTGACAAACTTTCGAAACCATCAACTAAAGCCATTTCGAAATGCCACCAATTCTGTACATCATGACTATTTTCCAGACCTAACTACAAAGCCAAGCGTATCAATAACACCAATTCTCGGATTTATTATTCTTCCAACCAACCCTTAAAGAACCAATTTGTTGCCATCTTGTTCAAAAATAGACCAGCCGGATGCCAAGCGAGATCTAACTGAATGATCAAGAGCATTCGCGGGCTTGAAACAACCATTGTCATGTTAGATCGTCATTTGCTAGAATCTCGCAGGCGAGGCACTATACACCTCACCATCGGAAGCAATGGACGGTTTTGCCAGCATTAGTTCATCCAGAGCTTCCAACCAGGTTCACTATGATCGATGGTTATGAACTCATTGTCAATGCAAACCGTTCATAAAAGTCACCTTCTAGACTTTATCTGAATCCATAAAATAGCAAAACCAACCCTCACTACATATTTTCAACCACCGATGACGTGAGGCCAACGCCAAGCTTCCATACATTGTATTAGCCTTGCACCTTTGTAGAGCGGGCCGAATACGGACGATAATCAACGTCAGCTTGTAACTGGTTTGGTCCGTTTGCCACCAAACGTACGCCAAGATGGCCATCCCAGCTTTCTCAGTATATATATTTGAGAAATTGGGCCTGAAAACTATCCATCATAATGAGATTCCTGTTGCAATATTCCTTCCTTTTCCTCGCCGTTCAGGCAGCCAATGTGCAAAAGATCATAGTCGAAGAGGCTTTCAATAAAGCTGTGGCCCAGTATAAAGCGGCTTCTTCTGCTTTGGAAGAACAGCTCCCTGCTTGTGTGGAGAAATACGACGTTGAGGCCGACTCCAAGTTCACCTTGAATGGACATGTCGTTGTCTTGAAGACCCCTCATACTCCAGAAAACGAAGACAAACTCTCCGGTTTCCAGAACTGTGTTTTTGAAATCTCTCACGATACCCTTGTTGCTGGTTCGTACGAAGCAATCGAATCTAGCGTTGTCTTGGAAGACACCACTGAGGGCTGGAACCAGGCTGCAATGACGAACTTGAGATACGACGTCGTTGCTGCTTTGATCGGATAATTCCGTTTTATGTACGTTCACGAGGTTGAGCTCTAGATAGCATCGCCAGATTTAATTTCCCGATATGACCGTTAATACTTATGAATGATAAAGATTATGATTTAACTGAGGGCCGATGATAAGGTATGTATGTGCCTTTATTCCATATACTCACGATATACCCCTGCCATAAGCAACTATATCAGAAATAGTGCCAAGTTCGCTTAGGCTACTTTGATGATCTTACTCCACGTACCAGACTATGGATGGATCTCAACAGGGCTTCATTGCATAAGACATTGACCCCAACGCTGCATGAATCTACATGCCCTACTCTATTTCTCCACACCTACCGCTTCTAACCGTTGCTCGTTCATTAATCCTATGTAACCAACCCTGTCAGTAAAACCGTGATGTGGAAAGCCATCGTGCCCGCACGATCCGACCGCTTCACTGACGCTTTTCGGTCTCCCGATCGTGCAAAACATGCAGTTGGTTGCCTCTGCCAGAGACTGGAGCCATTCTGGAAGCACCAGCAGTAACGTTTTCCTTCTTGGTGTCCTCTTCAACCTCGGGCTGCTCTGGCACAACAAATGCAGGCTGGGCGTCGTCCACAGCATCGGAGAAGTCTCTCTCAGCATCCTCAAGACCGTAGTCAAAGAATGTGTACAACGCGCCGGTGACGAATTTGACCTTGCCGCAAAGTGAGCTCCAGAGCCCGGGCAGGTGTTTGGCTTTTTCGTTTTGCACTGGCTTCAAAATTAACGCCAGGCGGGGGCTCAAGCCAAGGTCGCTGAGCTTTGTGAGTTCCTGGCCGGCAGTGAACGTGACTCTGGGGACGCCCACGTAGCAAAAGGCGTAGTGGTTCATGGCGAAGGCCGAGGTGTGTGCAAAGGACGGCAAGGCGTCGTCTCTTTCAGGGGAGAGCAGCAAGCCTCTTTCGCTCTCTATCCAGCGCTTAACGTCACGGAGGGTTTGGGAAGAGTTGAAGGTGCCCTGGACAGTTTCTCCGTCAAGAAGACGGATCAGAAGTTTACACTGGGATGCGGAGACGGGGGACTTTTGTCTTTTGGGGGTGGACTCCACAGAGTATCGTCTCTGGGAGAGCCTCTCCTTCTTGTCGGCCTCGATCTGGGCTCGTATTCTGCAGAGGTCCTCCTCCTTCTCGGACATTCTCCTTTGTGGTTTTTTGGTGGGTTGCTTGGTGGGGAGCTCGGGTACGTACTTCCTGAGAAAGGTCTCGACGTCACCGTCCACGAACGTATCTTTGACGGAGCCACGGATAACAGTAAAAGAAGGAGACTGCAAATCCTTGAGTTCCTCGAATTCAGCCGCCTCCTGGTCGGGCTTCACGCATATAAAGTTCCTTCTTAGCACATCCACCAAATCGTGGTTAGTGTTATGGTAAAGATGCTTCTGGGCCATGTCGTCGTTTTCATCAAGATACACGAGGACCGGCTGGCCGGTAAGGGCAGAAGCCCTGCTTGCAGCGTCCCACGACGGCGAAAAAAGCAGCTTCATGGTGGAAAAAGCAGTGTTGTTGTTAGGTATCACGGAAAAAGATGGGTATAAATGGATGACTTCTCCAGACAGGACGTGCGCTAGGCTATGTGGCTGGGTTGCTTGCGATAAGTCACACTAGAGAATACGGCGAGATTATACGAAACACGACAATGATAGATTTTGTAAAATGAAAGTTTCGTTTCTGGTTTTTTGGGTTTTGTTTTCTGGTTTTTATGTATTGGTGTTTGTATTAGTGCTCCTTCACTGGTTATCGGACCCTGCGGAGGAATGGGTCCGTGAGGGAGGGGATCTCAAAAAGGCAGGATCTAGCTAAGAGGTGAACAAAGGCTAAGTTCATCGTGAAAGAGGCTTAATTTCCGGTGGTGAGGTTTGTGCTTTGGTGGGCTGCTTTTGTAGTAGAAATGCGTGATCGGCTCCGTAACCACCGGCATCGGACTGCTACGAAAGCACATGCTACACAAAAAAAAACATAAATTCTTCAAAAACGAGTTGACTTGGGTTTTCGTCAAAACTCGCAAAAGATGGATTTTCCTCGGGTGCCCTATGACGTATCCACTTTAGGCATGTGTGTTGCCCGTATTTGCCTGTCAATATGCGGCTCTGAGCAAGTGAGCGTCTGTGCTAGTAACCTCGAGCCCAGAGGGGCTGATTTTACAGAGGGTGTTTTGCAAAAACGGCGAAATTTGGGGAAATCGAATTTGATGATCCTGAAATATCAACATTTGGGGCCTCCTCCAGCTTATCGGGAATCGCCCTAGTGCTGCAATAGGGGCTACCTGGATAGAGTTCGGATAAGCCGGGGTGTCAAAAAATGGCCCTTTCGGGCAGCTCGGGGCGGTGACGAGGCAGTAGGGTGGGGCTTCGAGGAAGAGGCGAGAGGAAGAGATTTAGAAGTTTTGGAGAAAATCGGCTGTTTTAGTGTGCTATTTAGGCGAAGCGTATTGGGGCTGGGGGTGGTGGATTACTTGATTTGGGTGGACGGGTTCGGCTAAATGGGAGAAAAAAGTGGCCACCAGTTGGAGTATTTGCTTTTGATCTTCTGAAAAGTGGTGGTATGCCACGGACGGGTGGTTTTTGGGTATGTGGAGCTTTCTAGTTGGTGGTAATGGGCATCAGCTTGTATGTTGAGCAATGAGGAAGCACATGTTGATGTCTATTCAATTTGAAATAGCAGTGCAGTAGTGCTAGTCAGTACAAAAAACAAAGTGCTATGTATGTAAATGTTGGCTGATAGTGTGGATCTGGACCTGGTTCTGGATCTGGGTTCTGCTCAACTGTACTGGAAAGTGTAATATCTGCATTGCACTTTTTAATCTTAGAGGTTGAAAATTCTAGCACCCCGTTGAAGCTTCCTAAGCTTCTTAGTCTCATGAAACTCTCTATAATTTCAATATAGTACTGGAGACTCTCTCAAATCCAGTAACTACATCTTTTCGCAGCCATTCGCAGCATATAGTTGTTGATATCTGATCCATAGGTAGCCACTAACACAACAAACAAAAGTCACCCTTAAGTAAAAACATCCGAACCTTTCTTCTTTATCCTTTCCCACCCAAATCAACTTCTCCAACTTTTTCACCTTCACATCGTACCAAGACATCACCACTACGGCTCCCGCTTTGTTTACTTTTCATACACTCCCAGTGTTTACATCCATCTTCAACACCCTTCTTCATGGAAAGCAACAGCGTCAAGGTCATTGTGAGGCTCAGACCGCCTCTTCCACGTGAAGAGGACCAGGACGATTGCTT